GAACCTCTTCTTGTACAGGTGTAAGACGGCGATTTTTGGAGATAGCACCGCGTTGTGGAGGAATACCACGGGCGCGACGCGTAACCGTCTTTCTGGGCACATCGTATAGTTTCTCAACGCCTCGGAAGGATGTAATTTGGCCGGTCTTGTAGGCTTGAACGCCTAGAATAACTCTGCCTTCTTGAAAGATGGCTTCTTGTTGTTGTGGTGCTGCCATTGGGGTGGTTGTTGGACGACGCGTCGCGTGTTGAGTTGGGTGGGCCACTAGCTTGTGCGGGCCACTAACTTGTGGATTACGTTAACGTTAGTGCCGGGAGCTTAGGTAATCTTAGTAGCTTTGCGGGGGCGGGGCGCACGTGATTGACGCTGTACAGTAAAATCTCGCACATGCACTGTTTATGAGACATGGAAATGGCAATTCCATTGAATAGGCAGAAGTTTGTCTAGATCACAATCTTTCGGATTCTTGACTATTGTCCCTCAGTCGTTTGCTATATCTGACGAGTATGTGCAGGTTTTTAACGTATGAGAGAGCTATTCTCTATGTCGACCTCCACTATGAATTGAATGGAGTTCAGGTTTCCTGTCCTATCATGCCAAAATAAATGCTTCCTCTGGTCAATGGAGATGGGAACTATGTGGTATGCCTCAGTATTATCATGCCAGCTGAAAGCGTTGAATTACATTCTATTAAAACACTTCTCCCAGTGCCAAAGAAATCCGCAGTGACCCACGACAGCTCGACATTATACCAGACATCCCCTACTCAACACTCGAAATCCGAAGATCCTTCCCAGAACACCCTCTCACAGCTTCGACATAACGCGTTCCCCTTCAATCCCGACAACCTCCCCAATCAAACTCTTCACGTCTAACGCACACCCAAACGCCAAGCTCCAACCACTACCCCCGTGTCCATAATTGTGGACGGTTCGGCTCTGCCTCGCCACCCTCACGTTGCCCTTGCGAAACGGCCGCAGCCCCTGCGCAAGCGGGTACCCCTCCACCAACTTCGCCTTCTTCAAGACTGGCAAGAACTTCTCGCACCGCTCCCGCATGCGCTTGATGACCGGCGAGTCGAGGGTCAAGTCCAAGCTCGCTTCGTTCGGCTGGGCGAGGCCGCCGAGCAGGAGAGTGTCTTCGCCACGCGGGACCAAGAACACGATCTCGTTGTCCTCGCTCGAGTCGGCGGAGATGCTGAGAGCGGCAGTGAGTTTGGGGAAGTCGGTGCCGTCGTTGCGGACCCGGAGGAGGGCGCCGCGAAGGGGGTAGCATGTGCTACCGGTTCCAAGGCCTCTGGAGCCGAGACCAGAGGCGTTGACGATGGCGGCGGCGGAGAAGCGGGTGAGCAGGGCCTTCTCTTGCTGAATCAAGTCGCCGGAGATGGTTCCAATGAGCATTGTGGCGCCCTTGGACTTGACGAGGGATGCGAGCCAAGCCATGGCACGGTCGGTGTCGATCACTGGTGCTAGATGCGAGTAGCATTCATGGATGGGGAAGTCCATGTTGACGCCGACGTTTTGGAGAGCGCCATTGTCGCGGCGAAAGTCTTGAATGTCGGTCGCAGTCATCTCGGCTACCTTCGCGACCTGGACTGGGTCTTCGGCGATCGGGTGCGGGAAGCAAGCGATAGAAGTCTTCATGGAGACACCGGTGGCGGCGGAGTCAAATGCGGCGAGGGCAGAGTAGCAATGGTAGGATTCCATACACCATCGCTTCGAGGACTGGAGGGAGATCGGGTCGGTGTGTGCACCGCAGACGGCGGGTGGGTACTCCCAAAGAGCGCCGGCGATTTGAGAGGTCAGGCGGCGCGATCCGGTGAAGATGGCGTACTCGCTGGCGAGGATGGTAACGGGGTAACCGGCATCGAGGAGCACCCAGGAGGTGACCAGGCCGGAGACGCCGCCGCCGATGACCAGAACTCGAGGCAGTGTTGGCTCCCAGAGAGGCTTTGGGAGAGGCGTGATGTCTTCCCACAAGCGGATGTGAGGTTGGGGAGCCATTGTTTGATGTGGTAGAGTGGTGGGTGTAGGTAGGGCTTCCCGGAAGAGGTGTGTGTGGGGGGAAGATTTACCAGGGAGGAGCGGAGGGGGTGTAATGAGTAGGGAAGGGTCGACTCTGGTGGAACGCAGCCGGTTTTGGCGTCGTTCAGATTCGCCGAGAATACTCGAGGCACCTCGACCAGTCGCAGGTTGGCGTTCACACTGGTCAAAAGGCTCCTAACGGTGTAGTCGAAAGATACTTTGTGAGGGTACACTAACCGTTGTGAGCATACAAACACCTGGAATAGCAGAATAAGTAAGGTTTTCCTGCGTAAATTAGGCGATGGGACCTCTTAAGGTCAAGTCGGAGTACACTTACCCGCCTTGAAACTATCTAAGTGAGATATTAGTTTTAGAGGCCGCTTGGCCTAGTAGGTAATTCCGGAAGTGAACACATCATACTAAACGTTCAAGGACTTATCATTGCCTATTCTCCAACGTGTATTGAGCCACTTCACAAAGACTGTAGCTAAGTGTGCCCAACTCAATATATTAGCGTTAGTGGATCGAAAACCCGATACAATCCTTCAAGGCGAATGCCGGAATACTTACCAATTGGGAAGTTGATCCGTATAGGGAGTCTCTTCTCGCCCATCCTACAGTACGCGGGTCCCAAATGTGTCCACCTCGTTTGTATACTTGTTTGTTGAATAAGATCTACTTATAAGATAGCTCGGTCAATTTGAAGACCGTTCATGACGACGAAGTTCATGTCTTACGCCTTGCCAGATTTCCGTGAGGATTTTGAGGTTCGCTTGACGGTGGTAAGATAGTGTATAGACACCTATAGTGAGGCACTACACTACACCACTTGGCATGCTAACCTATCAAAGGAATAATAGCAAGATAATGCACGATATAGTTAGCATGATCTTGCTTACCAATTGGGAGTCGGAGAGTCGGATGCGCTCTCACCGTGATTGTTTGCTCAACGCTGAGTTTCGGAGACCCAATACCGTTACGTTTCCTCTTGAGATGGCACCTGTGTTACGTCGTCAGCAGGCACGATTCATCAATAATCGACCTCTGTATAATATACCTCGATAGTTGAATCAGGAAAGAGAATTTTCAAGCTTTTTCTACTTGCCTGGCGGCGTGATTGTGCGGTCCAATTGTCGCCCGGTTCCGTTGAAACACAGTGTGAACGATCCGATCAATGAATCCAGGCCCATCTTAACGCCTGATCCGTCTAATTCGCACTTGAATTCCCTTGCCTAGCCTGAATTGGATAGATCTTTAATGTTTTGGGCGTCTCTGCCGGAGATATACTAATCCGTCCAATCAATCCTGGCAGCAACCTCGAGTGGGAAAAAGATGTAACACGAAAATCTGACATAAGACAGGAGAAAGAAACTCAAGCCGTAAAATCACAATAGATTGCATGAGACGCAGCGGTGCAATAAAAATGAGAGAATGCCGCGAATTGGGCCAAGGAATGTACAATATGCCGCTCTTTTGAAAGATGCGAGAAAAACGTAAGGTTATCGCTTTGGGACACTTAGTAAACTCCTGCGCGCACTTGAAGCAGCTGTACATACACCAGCCCCCGCCTCAAAAAAGCGTCACTCGCCTATCCCCGCACCACAACCCTCACGCCTTTACTCTCTTCCCGGTACAGCGGCGTGACCCCATCTCCTACAATCTCAATATCCTCGAAACTAGTGTTATGCAACTCTAACCACCCTCTATCGCCCTCCACCTTCACCTCCCCACTCCCGTATACCCTAAACACAGTCGCCAGCGCAAGGTACGACTCCGCATACGCCAGATTAGTGCCCACACACTGCCGTGTTCCACGCGAGAAGGGCACGAAATATCGATCCAGCCCCGGGTTCTCAATCCACCGCTCGGGGCTGAACTGCGTTGGGTCTTTGAAGTAGGTGGGCGAGTGGTGGATTAGGAGACCGGTCATGGAGAAGGGGATGCCGGGGCGGAGGATGTATTGTTTTTGCGTCGGCTGGCTGTTGGATTTGGTATTGGGGATGTAGCGGCGTAGACGAGGTTTCGTGGGCAATGCGTTGGAGGCGGGTGCTGATGCCGCTGCTGGTGCGGAGGCGTTCTTTGATGACGGCAGTGAGGTAAGGGAGTTGCTCAAGAGCTGTAAGGGTAGGGAGGTGAGAGGGGTCTGCGAGGGTGAGCTTATCTTTGAGCTTTCGAAGCTGCATGGGCTGTGAGAGGAGGTAGAATGTTATATCTGAGAGCGCAGCGGCTGTGGTGAGCCTGCCCGCAATGACGGTCACCTGGCCGTATTGCCAGAGGCGCGCGGGTGTTTTCTTGCGTGCGGGGAGGTCGCTGTTGAGAATCTCGTGAAAGATGATGGTTTGGTTCTCGTATTTGGGGTCGCTACGGTGGGACTGGATTCGGAGACGTGGCTAATGATGTCCTAGTTACCGGCAAGAGTATGTGTTAGAAGTGATACGTGACTTCAATGATCAAGGAAGAATGAAAAACGAATCTTGTTGAGCTTGATATACGTTGCCATCTCCGGATACGCAATCGTGTGCGCTTTGTCTGGGAGAACTTTCATCAAGGCCAAGATCCAGGGAAACTGTTTGATGAAGTGACCTAGTTTGGCGCCTATTTCGCCGGCTATCTTGAAGCTGGGATCGAAATCGGGCGCGTTCATACGATGGTCGCTGCGGCCGAACGCGTACTCCATGGCAATGTCTGACAGCGTAAGACTAGAAGGCAGAACGAGATCTAAATGCAAGGGGAAGCATTTGTACCATTAGTTAGTGCTGCATATGCCAATGAAATGACCATCGGCTCCTTAGACTCTTGAAATTCTCGGAACCTGCCCATGAGCTTGTCAAGCACTTCCATAATCCGTGGCTGTAAGCTTCGTATTTTGGACTTCGAGAAATAGAAGTTCATAGCCGCCCTTCGCCTGCGATGCATATCACGACCAGGTGTGCCAAAGGCGGCTTCGGGAAGGCCTGATGAGTTGGTGAAGAAAGTCCACTTGTCGCGTTTCCGCGTTGCTCCCGTGTATATTTCATCGTAGTATTCCGCATCTTGAATGTGGACTTCCTCTGGATTGATGCGTACGATTGGGCCATACTTCTCATGAGTGTCCCGTATCTTCCGGACGTATTGCCGGCCACACGTGACGTCGTAGTAGAATTCATACCTTCATCTGTGTGGTAAGCTGATGCTGCTCTTGATATTACTTTACAGTAGAAAGACTCTTTTACGCAGGATTGTGCACGCGGGATGGTCTTATCGGGCCTCTCTTCTCATAAATGCATAGGGTGACGGCGCGGCCCGCCCCTGGGCATAAGCTTACAGGATTGCTCAAACAGATGAGAGAATTTTGATGATATCCGACAATACAGGAAGAGAAAACGAGGTGTATGAACCGCCGAGCCTCTTGTCTTACCATTATGTGAGCTTTGCTAAAATTGGACGTGGCACTTCGCTGGCGGGGCTGAGATGAAGCCGATAGAAGCACAAAGTCAAGACGTAGACGGTAAGAAGAACAGTGACTGTGTATATGCAGAACATAGGTCCAGCAGACTCCGTGAGTAGCTGGCTGAAAGCTGTCATTGTTACTATTATGCTGATAAATTGCAGAGGAGATGTCACTGCGAAGGAGAAGCGGTGGTCCAATGAGAAGCGAGGTATTTGTGGGCGTTTCTTGGGTCTTGGCGTTTTGGCGATGTTCATCCATGTCTCGTATTTTCCCCTCCTTCAAAATCTCAACTCCTGCAAAAAGCCATGGCAGCATCACCACTTGCAGGTGCCCCTGTACTTTCAACACCAGATACGCACATATTCGAAGATCCTACACCCCCAATAGACGTTTCAACGCTTCCTAGGCTCTCCGACGAGCAGCTTGCCCTCACTTATGAGATAGCGCGGACTGTCGCTGAAATACGCACCAGGAGATGGAAGCGCATAGCTTTGCAGTTCCCGGATCATATGCTTGTAGATGCACCGCGGGTATTCGAGGCGTTGAGGCAAGGCCTGAAGCACTCCCGCCTGCAAAGACGGAAAGCCACATCGAATACCGAAGAGCCTTCGATCAATGGACATAGTGTGGACGATGCTGCCCAAGTAATGGCGGACACGACGATATCTGGGAAGGATAAAGTCGCCGAAAAGCTTTTCATCCTCGCAGATACCTCGTACGGAGCGTGCTGTGTAGACGAGGTCGCGGCAGAGCATGTCGACGCGGATGTAGTAGTCCACTACGGGCGATCGTGTCTGTCTCCAACCGCTCGACTTCCAGTTATTTACGTTTTCACGACTAGACCACTGTCCTTGGACGCAGTTCTCGAGACTTTTAGACAAACATACCTGGAGCGAGAACAGAAGATTATACTAATGGCAGACATCCCGTACTCAAGCCACATTCCAGGACTTGCTGAAAAGCTACGAGGCGAGGGATACACGGGAATCTTCACGACATCTATCGTCCACAACCCTTCATCCCCTCTACCAAATCGAGCCGTTCCAGCTGACGTGGTTGAATCAAAGGACGCGCTGCGGGAATACCAACTCTTCCACATCTCCGAGCCTCCCCCCTCTTTACTCCTGACATTATCCTCTCGAGTCGGTGCTATTCACATATTCCCTACCGATGGAGCCAGTGGGGAGATTCCCAAAGCATTACTTGCCTCCTCTGCGATGACATTACGACGGAGGTACGCGCTCCTCACCTCGCTGAGCACAGTATCAGTCTTTGGAATCTTGATAAATACGCTATCTGTCAAGAATTACATGCACATGCTGGATCACGTCAAGCAGGAGATCGCGGCGGCTGGGAAGAAAAGCTATACATTCGTAGTCGGGAAAGTCAACGCGGCCAAGGTGGCGAACTTCAGCGAAGTTGGAGGCTGGGTGGTGATAGGTTGCTGGGAGAGTAGCCTGATGGAGAGCAAGGACTTTTGGAAGCCTGTTATCACGCCGTTTGAGCTCAGTCTGGCTCTGAAGGGTGACACGGAGAGGATATGGACGGGCGAGTGGAGCAGCGACTTCCAAGCTCTTCTGGAGCAGAAGGCCGCCCAGCCAGAGGCACCTTCCGATGGCGAACAAAAAGTGGGATCTGATGATGTCGAGGCAGAGGACTTTGACTCAGAGGAGGAGTCGGCGCCGCCAGAGTTTGATCTACGGATGGGCCATTATGTCTCACATTCTCGGCCTATGCGAGCATCGAATGCAACTAATCAGAAGCAGACGGGCCAAGGGGAGGCAGCGTCGGCGAAGCAGTCATTAGTGAAGCGCGCCAACGGGGACCTTGCGAAGATTGGTGGGGTGGTGTCGCCTGGAGCTGAATATCTCCGCTCCCAGCGGACGTGGCAAGGGCTGGGAAGCGATTTTGAGGCTCCCGGGGAGGGTGAGAGTGCTGATACGGCTGGTGCTCCGGTGGAGATAGGCAGAAGCGGTATTGCTCGGGGGTATGTGGTGGGCGATGATAGGTCTGAGCGGTGACCAGGCGAGGATGCCCAAAATCACGAAAGTAGTGAATGAAACGCGACCACCATCCGTCGGCCGCGCTGACGACTGAGTGCCACGCGCTGTTTGGTCTTTCGCCTTGTCTGCGCCCTATTGTAACGCTTGACAATATGATACTGAAGTGAGAGAACAGGAGCATTTCTCTTTGGAGCACGTTACGCCAAGCGTGCTCTATTCTAATCGGCCGACTCACCTTACTCCAGGCAGGCACACGACAACCTCAACAACACGCACCCAACACCGCGCTGCCATATACTGGCGTCTCCCGTCCCTCTCTCTCCCCCCCTCTCTGCATGCCGCTTCTGTATGTTGCCGCCCCTCCTCCGCCGCGAAGACTGCCTCCTGGGCCCGCAGCTTGCTAAGAAACTTCGCCTACAGCCAGACGGAAGTGTCAACACCATGCCCGGTCAGCTCACCACCTCACCTCTTTTCGGGCTGCCCGCCGGTAGCAGAGCATACACATCCAAGGTCTCAATACCTTCAAGATCCTCATCAAGCAGCGAGGAAACTTGCCCGGACGCGCCTCTCAGCCTCTTTGAGGCCGTTGTCACCGCTTTCCCGCCCGTCCTCGAGTCGTTGCTCTCACAACTCCCAACAACATCCATATTCAACCTATACCATACCTCTCCTCACCTCCGAGCGTTCCTACAATCATATCCGCTAGCATGGAAGACACTGTCTTTTCGCCTACCTCAGCCGCCGAACCAGGCTATAACAACCCCGGGGAACGAAACACCTGATGGCCGAGAGAGGCAGTCGAAAACTTATGCTCTCGACGCCTTGCTGGCGGAAGTCGTGGTGCCCTTTGGGACCCGGCTACGTAATTTAGACCTATGCAATACCGCCGTGTCGGGAGTGGCCCTAATCGCAAAAGTACTTCAACCGCGCATCGAAACGCTGCAGCACCTCTCCGTTCGGGGCTGCAAGAACGTCTCCATCAAATACCACATCGTCCCGTTCCTGGAGCCGTACGCCCAAAAGGACTCGCCATGGGCCAAGAGAGGGGATCTGGCTTTGAAGAGCTTGTATGCATACCGCTGCCGTCACCACCGTCGGAGACCCTACCTTCCATCTTCTTTGGGCCGGAGAGACTCGGACTCGGACCCTACACATCAACTCATTGAGATATGTCATAAGCTTGGAATATGGACGGATACTGCCTGGTGCCCGACACCCGCTGGGAGATGCTTCAGGAGGAAGGACTATCATAACGGACGAGGCGGGCCAGGGAACACCGAAGTTTGGGTTCCCTTCGACAGGCTATGGAGATCCAGCAACCGCATTGGACCCACTGAAGAAAGCGCCCCTATCGGACACTCGGATGGAAGACTGTGGGAACTGAGCGAGGATGGCCAGGACGGAGAGCCACTAGGGCCTGAAAAGGGGCCCCCAGGAAAAGAAGGAAAGGACGTTCCCGCACACTTACGGCGAAGTCACCAATTGTTTGTGGACGACTTGAAGTGCTCCCGATGCCATGATCCCATATTCGAGCGATGCGAACAGTGTAGCGTGCGGATGCACTGCATGGGCTGCCGCAAGACGCTCTGTGCCAGCTGTGCATTCAATAGGCCGATCCCTAGGAAGCGGACCAAGACCCGACATACAAATATCATGCTAGGCACTATTGCTCCGATGACCTCCATATTTTCTTCGTCATCGACGTTGAAGGATGATGTCAAGGAGCCACCTTCGAAGGAGAGGTTTTGGTGGGCACCGGGCATGGTCCGATCCCCAAATCTCATGCATGAGCCTGCCGGCGACGATGACTCGGATTCAGATGACGGAATCCTGAATCACATCAACAACGGAATTGGTCCAGTGCCAATAGCTCCTCCGAAACTCAACATGCACTGGTGTTGCATGGAGCCCGTATTCTCGGGCGGAGGTGGCATCGCCTTTGTGGGGCCTGGCCTCGCCGGCAAGGGCGCAGACAAGATCCGAGCAGCACCTCTCCCTCGCATCAAGAAGTATGAGGACCCGGACTTCACTTACCAACTCCGTTCGTTCGACCCACTCCGAGATTTGAAGCAGAGCGGGCTTTATGGGCACCTCCTCAACGAGGACCTGGATATCATGGAGTATCTCAGGCAGGACAGTCTCGACTTGCAGGCGTCGACGTGCCCGCGAGGACTCTGCCAAGAGTGCTACCAATCTTTCCGATGGAAAGTCTCTTGCAAAGCGTGCAAGAGTCCGCTTTGCAAGGAGCACGATTTTAGGGCTCTCAAGATTCGAAAGTGTGGATACCGGGATCTCCATATCGAGCGGGACTACGTACGGAATCATAAAGAGCTTCCCCAGTTCACAATCCCGCCTTTCAAATCTGCGGCCCCGTCATCCAGCAAGGCCGAAGAAATGATTGACGATAATGAAAGCTTCACTTCTGGCGATGCTCTGTCTACAAACGCTGTTGACATCGATATCGAGCCAGTAGTCTCGGGGTCACTTTCTCAATCCCAGATACTGCCACCAATCCCGATATCACTCGCTCCAGCTGCTCCACCAGCTATGTCCGCCTCTACATCCACCAATTCTCACCAGTCAAACATTCCCAACGACATTCCGTTCACAATTCATGTTTCGGTGCCGGTTCTTCCCTCTCGTCCACGTTCTTTGAGTGCGTCCAATTCCCGCAGCCGTAGCGCAGCATCGTGGCCACACTCCCCTCGTCCGGTCGCTTCTACCTTAATAAACATGATACCTCGACCGGGTAATCCTCGACATCCCGTCCAATGGGAAGGCTGTGGGTCGTATTACTGCCCAGCGACGAGACACTTGGGGGACAACCGGCCGAGATGCCAAGAGCTAATTAGAGAGTGTGAGGACTGCCGGGTCTTAGTTTGCAGTGTAGGTTCGCAGTCTAATCATCTGTTTGCCCTTATTATGGGGTCTCAATATAGAAATCCTAGCTAACGTATCGAATTCCTGTCTAGACATGCGCCTCTGCTAATCCAGAATGCGCCTGCTCGTTTTGCTCTGTTCACTACTACTGTCCGCACTGCAACGACAAGCCGGAAGTCCGGGCACAGTGCGTGCTCGAAGAAGAGCTCGAAGCCGCCCGCGTCAAGGAAGTCAAGATGAAAGAGCGGCTGGAGCGGGAGAAAGAGCAGCGCGAGGTTGCGGATAAACTTGCTGAAACTTTATTGGAGTTTTGGGAGGGTTTGTTGGGAGAGGTGGCTATCGAGGCTTTTAGTGGCACTTCTGACACGGCCCCTTCTTTGGAAGTGACTTCGGAATCCAGCCTGGAAGGAAATGCGGATTTTAGCATTCCGGCTGTGAGTGCTTCGCCGAGTCCTTCGGCAACAGGGGAAACAGCCACAGACGCAGCAGAACCTCAGCCCCTCTCTATCATTCAGCCATCGACACCGGTCCCGGGTTTTGCAGAGGGCGTAGCGAACTACGAGACGGAAGATGCAACGTTGGAAGTCATTGATGAGCTCATTGCCAGCGGCGAATTGGTGCTTATGTGAAGAGGTAAGCATGAGAGCGTGATTTCTGCATCTTGCATCTCATACCTTGCAATTTTTTTCTATTTCTTTTTGGTCCAGCGTTCTGTTCATTAGTCATTGGTGGAGGAAAGCGAAGCACGAGCAAATTTATGAGATGGCTATGGAAGACAGGCGAGGGCACGGTGTTACGACTCGTCACGACCCTCGAGCCTACGGTCATTTGCATTTGGGGCGGCGAGCGTCTTTCTTTCGATTCTTTTCACTTCATTTTTCTTCCGCTTTCTTTTTGATGGAACGGAATGGAGGCGACCTACGGGCTGCAAGAGGTGTTAGCGGGTTTGTCTATGGTATTGGCTGGTGCGGTGCTGGGCAGCTTGGAGACCGAATCATCGCATGACTTCGGGGGCAGAGTTCGAGGTATATACTCATGAGGCTGGTATCGGCCCTGATAGCTGAGACGTGGAGAATGACATCGGGAGTGATTCTGGACTGACTTCGGCGACTTTGAAATAAGTTGTGAGTTGTGGTTTGTGGTGTGATTTCCTACCTTCGCTTCAGCTGCTTGGCATGATTGAAGGATGAAAGATCTCCACATGGTAAGTCAGACTAGGACTCAAATGAGTCTATGGCTAAGTGCTTGCAGCTCGAATTATCCCATCAACACGTTTGCCGTGCTTGATCCCTAGTGCTGCAGCTTTCAGCGTTCGCAGCCTCTCATGATCGAATGATTAGCACTCGAAAGAATTGTGAAAAGCAACGAAAGAGCTTCCAATTGGCGATAAAGAGGTCAGCACGTCATGAATACAATACGATAGTCTAAATTGCGGGACTTGGCTCCTTATTGGAGTGTCGATGTTCTCTCTCGTGCTCAAAAATTTGCATTGGTAATATGGAGCCATTTGTCAGCTGTCCCTGCAAGTTGGTAGTTATACGATACTTATAAGTAGACCAGGTAGGCGGTACACTCGCACCCCGGGAATTTCCAGGAACCAATAATTCAAAATGTACTCAGCTTCCGTTCTCTCTGGCCTCCTAATATTCACCCCTCTCTACCTCACCTCCTTCATCCCCCCAACCCTCGCAACCCCCCTCCCCCCATCCAACCATGACCCTTCTCCCTACCCCGTCTCCCTCCTCCACCAATTCCCCCCGGGCGTCTGGGCCGAAAACCTCGCCACCACCTCCACCAACTCCCTCCTCATTACCATCATGAGCACCCCCGACCTCCTTCTCTACGACCCCGCCGCCCCATCTCTCCCTCCTACCCTCCTCCATTCCTTCGCGGACAACGGGCCCTACGCCTCCCTCCTCGGCATCGCAGCAACCAGCGCCAACTCCTTCGCCGTCGTCGCAGGCAACTACTCCCTAACCAGCGCCGGCGCTATCCCCGGCACCTTTGCCATCTTCACCATCACGCTCCCGCCCACCGGTTCCCTACAAACTCCCCAGGTCAAGCTCCTCGCCCCCCTCCCGGACGCGCAGTTCATCAACGGGCTGGTCTACCATGCCTACCCCTCCCCCGCCGTGCTAGCCGCGGACTCGACCCTTGGCACTATCACGCGGATCGAGCTCGCTACGGGTGCTGTGTCGACGCTTCTCGAGGTGGAGGCGTTCAAACCGTGCGGCGACTCCAAGGAAGGGCTGAACGGGTTCCACATCCACGCCCCGACATCGACGCTGTATTTCACGAACTCGGCGTGTCGCACGTTCGGGAAGGTGCCGGTGCGGAGGGATGGGAGTCAGGCCGGGGAGGCGAGGGTCACTGTTACGTATCCGGCGCCGTATTTTTTCGATGATTTCGCGCTCGGGGGGGATGGGACGGCGTGGGTGGCGGTGAGTAATGGGAATGGAATTGCGAGGATTGCGGAGGATGGGGAGGTAGAGGTGGTGGCGGGGAGTGTTAATTCAACGGAGGTGGCGGAACCGACGGCGTTGGTGTGGGGGCGGGAGGGGGAGGTGGGGAAGGGGGGAGAGAGGGTGTTGTACGTGACGACGGGAGGTGCGTTGGGGGATCCGATTAATGGGACGGTGGTTGTGGGGGCGCAGGTTTTGAGGATTGGGGTGGAGGGGGGGTGGTAGAGTGTAGGGTGGTTTAATATTGTGAAGGCGGTGGTAGAGTGAGAGGGCGAGAGGGGTGATATTCAGGGTGGAACGAATGGGTATGGTGGTTGGCAGTCTTTTGACGTAGCCTGCAAATCAAAGGGGTAGACGTGGCGGGTTGAAAGAGGGCTGGAGCTAGTCTGAAAGGTGCAGAGCTGGTCTGAAGGGAGCTGGTTACAGAATCTCTAATAAAGTGGTGGAAATCAGACTGCGGGGCTTGTTTAGAATGAGCAAGACTGTATGTAAATTAAAATGGTTCCGGCTTAATTCCTATTAGGGCTTTAGAGGTCCACGAATGGTAGCATGCTGCCATGGACTTGCCAATCGTCGATAGATTCGCGTCTGATTTACACTGTGCGTAGCATAGGTGGAGGGAGGCGACGATTTAGAGGCTACTAGGACTCTTAGAGACATTCTAGAGCCTTCTCTGCTATTACAGTACGTCCTACTAATCTGCACGTGAGCTCTCTTAGTACCACGTTCTCACAGTCAATGTACGTGATGTCACTAATTCTCCCACTACTTAAGCAGGCCATGGACCGTCTTATAGCTGCTCTTCTTCAGGGTTTTAGGGGTGAAAAGTAAATCTAGATACCCCAAACGTCATGTATGGCTGAGGCAAAATCTGCGCACGCTTCCCTAATGTAGTAGAAGGGATGGAGGAATAAACAGCCGTCGTGTATAACTGCGATGGGATAGAGCAGAAGAGGGAAATAGCTCCTTTCGCCTCTGTTCATGAAAGGGGGTTGCTTTTACCTCTTAAAGCTGATGATGCAGCGCACGTTTGGGCTCTGCGAATGCGTACGTCTACTTGCAGTGACAAGTCATACTGTACATATTTCCAGCAATTAGCATCTTCGTCTAACGTTAACAATCATCATTACCTTTAGTATAGTAATCCCAACCCAACTTCTCTCATAGCTCGCGCGGTAGTGCTAGTTTGCCCATCGTGCTTTTCATCTGCATTTGTTAGACCCAGTCCCCCACACCCACCCCATTGTGTGTCGGTGCCCTGCAGTTTAATCCTCCACGCCCACTCATTACCTGAGATCCACCCATGCTCTGTGCACCATGGGTAAAATCGCAATGCGTGTTTGACCATACATCAGGGCTGTTACACGCGGTGCAACATGGAGAAGATCGAGTGGAGTATTTTGTATAAAGGCCAAGAGCAGTGTGTTTTGAACAAGCCAGTGGATGATCTCTACAGCTGTAAGGCTGAGGGCCTGAGGATTTATATAGTGTTGTGAGGGGGCTCGAGAAGGATTTGGTAGGCGGGCACATGAAGAGCACGTGAGGTGAGAGCAGTGGACGTAGACGGGAGCTACCTGAACGTGGTCTATTGTGCATAATCTTTGATCATTCACCCCACGGAATATTTCATTGGCTGAATTAGCCGCGGACTTGCAGGCACTACATCAAAGATACTCCCATGATGCCCATCCCCTAAAGAATCGCCGCCGCGAGCGCAACCATAGCCCCTAGGAGGCCCCCCGAAACATCCCTCGGTGGGGCAAACCCAGCTGAAGCCGTTGTGCTTGGTTCTGCTACAAGAGTATTCGCCGCAGTACCCGTATTAACAGGCGTCGTGTTGATTGAAAGCGTACGAGAGGCGCCGGACGTAATTTCGGACGCAATTGACGACAGGAAGCCAAATGGGTCAGAATTGCTTGAAGCTGAAGCGCTTGTCTTGGTCGCCGAAGAAGCCGACGAGCTGGTAGAGTGCAAGGACGAAGCCGCGGAAGCGGAGACAGTGTCAGTGGCGCTTGCAAGGACAGACATTGCGTCTAAGCCAGTTACTGGCGCGACAGTGGACGCGCCGGCTGCGAGGGAGAAGAAAGATGCGGGCAGGGTAATGCTGAGGACGACGTCGTATTGTTTGCAGACTGCGTTGACGGTGGATAGGACGCCTAGTATTGTTTCAGCAAGTATAGTCGGCGGCGACACCTATCTTTGTGAGGCGGAGACACGCACCTTGGAGATCTTCTGCCTTTGGGCAAGAGTCTATTACGCAGGGTTCAATGCCGCCAATGAGTGATTGGCCTTTTTTGCAGTGGCATTCGAAGTCTAGCAGACTCGAGCAGCTGTCGTCGCTTAGCTCTGAGATGAAGCAGCCCAGCTAGAGGAAGATCAGATTGAGCAAGAACTGAAACATTGGGAACTTCTTACCGCGCATGCGGGTCCCGGGAGCTGGGTATATGTGAGAGATGCAGCTGAAGCCGCGAGGGTAATTGTTGCGAGCTTCATGGTTTTCTATAGGCTTGAAGTACTATCTTGCACGTAAAAGACTGTGATGTCGAGAGATTCAAGAATATGGGCCGACCTGTCACAACGCTTGAAAGAGAACCAGTACATCTCTTAAGTATATCGGGAAAATCTTGGTCAATGAGGCGTCATTCCCATACGTGCTGTGATTTTCTATTTCGGCTTCACATGTACTGGCGGTCTATGTACTCGAAGAAGTCCCGGCTAGTCGAAGTGGAAAATATTCCGAAGATAGCTAGGGATGTTGTTTGATACCGAGAAAATTGTCATAAGCTTGACTCGATCCGTGGGGAGACCCCGCGATGTGTTTCCCCGGGACCTGCATTTAATGGCCTTTTCCATGTGCGAGATATATGCTCACGTGCCATATAACTCTGATCCGGTACCTCTAAGTCGAATTTGTCCAGGGTGGCTCGGGCACGCGCGCTGATGGGGAGTTTAGTCCGTCGATCATTCACATGTATTTCCGAAGGGACGTTGACTTTTCAGGTTGTAAGCGAGGAGAATTTTAACTGCGAGGAAACTATGCGTGGAGAGCAATGAGGCGGGATCATTGGCTTACTATGTAGACGCTTAGATGACCCTCTTCAAAGTGTATCATGCAAATTATCATTCATCTTTTCTTTGACCCCAAAAGGCAGTCGCTGGGAACAAATATACTCTCCCTCGGGAGGCCTTCATGCCGTAGTCGCCTTTTCATTGTCCGGAGGCGTGACTGTAGCACCTTCGTCCTTCTTCAGATTTGCCAGACATGGTGCATGAAAGAGTTTCCCGTCCCAAGCGCCTCTAGCGGTACCAATAGCGACTACAATCCAAAGAAAAATCACGGCAACGCTGAGGATAGTGCCAAGAACTTTGAAGAATTGACTTGGCATTTGATTTCCAAGCTCGATCGTGCTGACCGCATAGACACCGAGAGGGAAAGTGAACCCCCACCATCCCATATTAAAAGGAAATGGGCGAGATTTGTAGATTGACGCCAGAGCGAAAGCGAACCAGATGAGGCCAAACCCCCACATGAGAAGCGCCAAGAATACGCCAAGGATGTAGACAATATCTCCAGCAACAGCAAGGTCGTGGAAAAAGTGGACTTGAGGAAAGACCTCCCGAGAGACCTTTCCAAGATACATTATCGTGTAGCCGCCCATGCCAAGTGGACCGAGCGGCAGAAACGATGATACCACGATTTCGCGGGGAGGGAGTTTGTGAAGTGCCAGCCGCTGGTAATAGATGACCAAGACAGTCATAGCTAGAGGGGTAGCCATACCCCACATAACATATGACGTGATAAGAGTTCCCAGCGCATGGTCGGGATTAGGGAGCACCTCTGCTATCTCAGCACCAGCGCCAGCAGCAACGATAGTAGCGGCTATAGGCAGTAGCTGCGCAGCTGTTATGCGATCTAGGGCCTGTTGATGAGATTGCGATATGAGAAGGAAGGTCAACGACACCGTGACAGCTCCAGCGACGATGCAGTCTATCATCCAGCACACCCACGCGAATTTGATTGCCCAAGGGCCCCAGTATGGAATGCAGAGAAAAATCCAACTTTCCACCAAGGTGGCGAAGCCCATAGGGATAGTGCCGAGAAATAGCGAGTTCGTGCTGTCGTTAATCATGACAGTCCAGATTGCCGGATACAGCGTGTATCGGAGGATTGAGATGACGAAGGCTAAAGCAAATAATAGTGTATTTAATGCAAAGAATACCACGGACATCCAGTATAGCCAATCGCTTTGGAACGGTATCGTGATGAAGAGTAAAGAAACAATGCCAGTGCCCATGGTAACGGAGAACCAAGATGGGCTGAAGTTCCGCACAACCCGTCGCCAGCCAACATCGTATTTAGTCAATTGATCCGGTGGAGGCTCGGGGATAACGTCCTGTTCTCCTGAAGGATCTGAAGTCGTGGTGTGGTGGCGATGTGACGATCTCTGGCGAACCAGACTTGGAGATGACGAAGAGGGCTTATTTGAAGCCAGGCGGGTGAGGTCGTGGTCAGGATCCTGCATAGTGGCTGGGAGTTCAACTGTACTCTAACGCAGTCGTATCGTAGATGTACAGATGCATTTTGATGATGTTGAAGTTTGAGTTTCGGAGACTCGGATGTGGCTATTTTAACAAGTGGTAGAATACGGTCAAAAGTGTTATTCTAGAATTATCTAACTCCAGTGCCCTCCCTACCCATAGACAGTGACGACCTTGATGATAGACGACCGCCTCCACATCTACATATCTCTTACGTTACCTCTCGCTCAGTTTCATTAGTCTTGTCGTAGTCTGGCACTGAACCATAATCCTGGCGCATCCAACCTCAGCCTCCATGTTCAATGCAATAGGTAGCGGCAGGACCTTGTCATGCGCCATGACGGCTAATGGTTCCACCGCTTTGCATTCCCTTTGATGATGGAGTAAGAGACACTGTCCTCTGCTCGCCCTCCACAAGTTTTCCTTCTCAATATATTTGAAATTCCGCATCACTCTTCCCTTATCCTCTTCATCGCCAATCAAAGTCGACAGACCAGCTTGCGTATTCTCGCGTATTCTCGCGTTACTATTTCCCTTCATCTTCGTGCCTTATAATAATCAAGCTAGCAAAAACATAACCATCCCCATCGCCTACAATGGTTATACTTCAGCGATGCTGGAGCTGAAATAAGAAGCAAAAAAATGGGATTCTGGTCAATACGGGGGTCGAACCCGCGACCTTGGCGTTAACACATGATATTAGCACCTATTAGGTATTAGTACCATGCTTGAGTAGCAGTTAAGTAAGGTGAACACATACCACGCTCTAACCAACTGAGCTAATCGACCTGATTGGTTGAATTGCAAGCTCGTCAAAATTTTCACTCTATAATTTGTCATAATTTTATCCCTGTCCCTCCGTGCCATGGATGATACACGACCTCGCCCGTGTTACGTACCCTTTTTCTCTTAGTAAGACTGCCGATTATAGTTGCAGGGAGTCAGCGCCATGGTACAGGCAGAAAGTCTCGACAAGGTCAATGACGTTGCCTATTGCTCGCTACCAGACTTTATTCTGCACCGACTCCAAAATTCTAGCTCTTCTCTTCGTCGTCTTCTACTGTTCTCTCTTTCCTTTGTGGCCATTAACCATTGACTATCCCAAGACAATGCTTTCTATTTTCGATCTCTCAAGGGAGCTGCGAGACGAGATTTACGATGCCGTTTTGGACTCCGACATCACGTATCCCCTCTTTTCAACAATGACGGATTCCAACAAATCAATTCTAACGTCCTGGAGAAAAACGTGCCACGCCAAATTCCAGCCATTGATCCCGGCTGTAGGACCTCTTCTTCTCGCAAATCGCCTGATAAACTTCGAAACACAAGAAGCAATCGAACGGAGGAAGCGCCAGCGGCGTATGAAGTACGAAGTGGACTTGTCATATCATATGCCTAAGTGGAGAGCATTCCCAGTAATACCAACCCATATCGACGATCTCCATATAAACATAGATTGTGGACCCCGGATTATGCAAGATCATTTCTGCTTGCTGAGCAACACTGTCATTATTTTTCCTTCGTTCGTTCCTTAATGAAGGAATCGTAAGCAGCCCACACCATACGGCAAAACATCGGAATGTTACTATAGGAACCATGACCATCCATATCCGCTTCGAGACCAGGGAAGATATTCTTGCAAATCTCTTTGGACTTGGATATGGAACTCTTGGAAGGCCTTTCGCCGATAAGTCCGAGACAACTCTACAGCACCTCTGTGATAACTTGCGCCTTTTCATTCCCAGGCTTCTAATCCCATGTCTACACGTATCAAAAATACTTGCATCATTGCCAACGGGAAGCTCGTACACGAAATCGAAGCTGCAAGTAACCCCCCGTGGCCGCCACTTTACCTCGAGGAGCCGGGCATTTGCTTCTAATGTTCATGTCCGAAGGTGTTCAAGTAATGGAAATGCAACCCGTTGCATCACAATTTCTGACTGTTAATATGGGTGCATCTCGAACTCTAGATGTTCGAAGTCTGCCCAACTCAGGTTGAAATTGATGTGAACTCTGATTTCTATAGACGTCTAGCTAGTTGTATATATACTAGGGGAAGGAAGGGGGCCACCCCCAGGGTGGCGCGCTAGTAAGTTCAGATGAGCCCTGCACAGCTGAGGCTTCAGCTCGGTTCTCTACAGCTGAGATTTCAGCTGGGTTCTCTACAGCTGATGTTCGGAGAGTAGCTTTCTGGCATATGAGTTGTTGATCCTAGGTTGTAGTGCTGCAACCTGAGTGCCCAGCTATGCTCAATTACTATTTTCGAATGTCTGTTTTGTTGAAGAGTGCTTGTGTTTCCCGGTCCGGGAGTACAGAACGGTAGCTTCCCAATTGCTCTCTTCAAATATATTGACAACGGGTCAATGTTCTATGAAGCTCGTTGTACCGAATTTGACAATTTGGTCGCCATGAGAAACTTATGGATCTCTCGCGTGTCTTTCTGGAACCAATGATGAAAATATTAAAACCAAAAGCGGATTGCTTTCATCCTCACATTTATCACTCTAGGCCGCAACAAATCACCGTTAAAGCTCCACGCACTGTTCCGCGACTGTCGCACATCACTCAGCGTGGACAACAACCGCATTGAGGATATCAGAAATGGCATCAACAACATCAAAGATGATATGAAAAGTATCAAGGACGATGTCGCTGTGATCTTAGCCAGACACCAAGCGCAACGACCAGCAGGAGTCCAGTCTACTGATGCTCATGCGACAGCCTGAATTTGGAAGAGGTTCGGCACGATACTAAGCTCTCCGAGCCACACATCAACGCTTAAGAAGAAGGTGCGCCTTTCCGGAACTGGCTTAACTAGCGGTGGCGATGAGACTAAGACCGCCCTTACACGTCATCTGAGTCGGCTCCCGAATCGCAGAACATAGAAGCGTTTGCGGCGCAATCTAGCCATACCGATCATGAGTCTCAGTCTAGGCTGCAGTCTCAACTAGAAGTGGCGGTCGCGCGGACAATTTTTTTCTCTCCAAGGGTACAGCAGCAGTTTCCAAATGTATACCAGCACGCGTATACTCTCTCTATGCCCCGGTCTCTATCACGGGAGAATCGCCCAAAAGCCTCATATCACCCAGCTGCTTCAACTGCTACACACTCACAACCACCTTCGACGCTAGCACCGTCAATTCATGCACCCCGATCCATGCAGCCGCCAAATCAGGCGCAAGGACAACTACAATATTGCCCAAATGGGGGATGGATGGAACACCAAGGCTTTGTGAGCAAGCCCCGAAACTGCCTACAGGCTCACAACGAAACTTACTCTCCAAACATTGTGACTGAGGGGGGTACGAATTTTCACAAGTGTGGGACTCAGGTTTGTGCATACTCGCATGCGCTAAAGGATTGTACGGCTCAATGTCCAAGGACTCGCTGTACTCTAGGGGGTGTGCGTATCAGCATCATAACGGTCAGAGGTCGAAACGCTGATCTACATATTCGAACTGGAGTTGAATGTGATGCAGACTAGGTTCAACGTGATGATTCAGGTGGTTATTGGAGTAGAGCTCATGCTCTTCAAGTGACTCTGCTCCGAGGAAACACAGATCAGTTCTTGGAAGGTGTATCTAGAGGTATCATTCATGTTTGTGGTCTTCGGTAAGTAGTATGAATAAACGTTAGCTTTTCTAACGTGGTGACCCACCTTCAAAGCTGTCGTCGCCCGACTGATTGCACAGAATTTTCAGTTTCTATCAATCGGCATGTGATGACTTCGCACCACCGAATTAGATTGCCGCTCATTCTTTTGACTCATATATCATAGCAACACGCAGTTTAGAAGTAAAAGTCTTGTAGTTGTACGGGGAAAATTTGATGAGCTGCTGCTAGCCGAACTGCTAAGTAAAGTGGAGTATAGTCCCGATCGGGATATGCTATCCATAAGCTAATCGCGGAAATGTGACGAAAAGATGACTCCCGACGACACTAGTCCACTAAGCAATACAACAGGGCGCACGACAAAATCTATATATATAAGCTCATCCATCGTCACTGGATATTCAGTTAGCAGAAAGAAGACTCGAATCCCCTTTTCTCTCTCCCACTCCTTCGCAACGCCGCAAGAATGAGCCAAACCGAACTTCAAACCATCACACACCACCACTCCAAATCCCATCCCTCTACCCCCGATTTTCAACCCCAAAACGACATACGCAACATCTCCAACGCATCTCTCCAAAATGACGCCGCAATCCAAGACTCCCCTCGCCGCCTCTCCGACGACGAACGGCTGCACACCACCGCCGAAAACGCCGACTCCTCCAACGTAACCACCGCAATCCCCGACGGCGGCCCCGGCTGGACCATCGTCGCCGCCTGCAGCGTCATAACCTTCTGGTTCAACGGCTGGAGCGGCGCCTGGGGCGTCCTCCAAACCGCTCTCCTCTCATCCTCTCTCTCCACCACCACCCCGGCCACCATGTCCTTCGTCGGCACCCTCTCCATCGGCATCTGCGTCGCCTTCGGCCTCTTCAACGTGCGCGCCATGCTGTTCTTCGGCGCGCGCAACACCGCGCTCTTCGGCATGCTGCTGCTCGGCGTGGGCCTCATCACGGCGGGCTTCACGACGGCTAATCTCGGCGGCTTGTTTGGGACCGCAGGCGCCCTGACGGGGGTCGGCAGTTGCTTTTTGTATGGAATCTGCAACATCCTCCCGACGCAGTACTTCAGCAGCAAGCTCGGACTCGCGAACGGCCTTGTGAAGGCGGGAGGCGGGCTCGGAGGTACCGTTCTCTCGCTCTCGCTGGACGCGTTGATCCGCCATGTCGGCATCGCGTGGAGCTTTCGAATCATCGGGATCCTGACGCTCGCCACGGGGCTGCCAGCAGCGTGGCTGATCAAAGAGCGCGAGGGCGCGAAGCTGAGGAAGAGCGAGTTTGTGGAGTGGAGCATGTTCCGCAGCGTACCGTTTACCGCAGTGTTCATCGCCGCGTCGCTGGCGACCTTCGCGCTGTTCGTGCCGCCGTTCTTCCTCCCGCTTTTCGCGAAGTCGATTGGGCTGAGTTCGTCGACTGGTGCTGGGCTGGTTGCTGGGTTCGCTTTGTGCACGACGACGGGGAGGTTAATTGCGGGCCCCCTATGCGACAAGATTGGGCCGGTTAATATGTTTCTGATTACGATGCTGCTGAATGCGGTCAGTATGCTTGCGATCTGGCCGGTGTCGAGCACGCTGGCGCCGCTGATCATCTTCGCCATGCTGAATGGAGTGGCAAATGGGGCGTTCTTTACGACGATGCCGACGGTGGTGGGGACTATGTTTGGTCCTGGCAGAGCAGCGGTCGCGATGTCTATGGCTATCACGGGGTGGACTGGGGGGTATGTTATGGGTGCGCCGATTGCTGGGTATCTGCTACAGGCGGCGGGAGGGAAAGTGGATGGGGGGGTTCAGGGAGTAGAAGTATATCGGCCTGCTATCTTTTATGCAGGTGGTGTGGCGTTGGTGTCAAGTTTTATTGTCTTAATCGCGAGGGTGGCGATGGATAGGAAGATTGTCAAGAGGATGTGACCACCGATATCTCGAACCACTTCCCCAGCAGATCCATATTCCTTCTGTCAGCACTTCAAGGTGACTGCGCTACAGACATGTTGGTCTTGGGGGAACTGCCTGTTCGCGAATCTGTCTCCCACTTTCTCATACCATCCATATTCGCCGTCGATAATTTCGGGGAACACAGCGTGGCCCATCATTATGAGATGGTACACCCTAGCGCGAAGTGGTCTGTCTCGGCGTCCGCATTGAAAGGGATCGTCTCAAGGACAGTAAAACATGCAAGGTTCGCCGCTCCAACCGTCAAGGGCACCTCGCCATCCTCCGGGGTTAGGATGGCTTCCTATGCACTTAGTTAAAGATGGGATCGGCATTTCATTTTGCATCTTCGCTATTAATCGGGTTTCTTCACACTCTCGCTCCATTTGCGACCTGCGAGAGGATAGGGTCCGATGTGGGTTTTTGTTAAGTATCAAGGTCTCTTAATGTCCATGGGACAGGAAAGGGAAGGACGTAGTAATCATCAACCACTATACCAATTAAAGCCTAGAGAGACTTACCCGCAATAGGCCCTCCCTAATCATAGTTTATCAACCCTTCAATCATTATACCTCAACAACCCCTAATTCCGCCGATCTACATTAAATTGCACGAGGCGTCTTTGTGTTTAGCCCCCGCACTTTTCTTCGCCTTCTTAGCCATTTTAAGTGCCAACCGAGTCATCACTTCGAAAGTCTCCCGAATTCCAGCGCCAGTCAGGGCTGAGCACTCGACGTAGGCCGCAGCACCAATGTACTTGGCGGCCGCAAGTCCTTGACCATATGTCACCGGCTTCTGCGAGGTCTTGCTTAGCTCTTCAGCCGTCTTTTTGTCGTGCTTCAGGTCGTGTTTGAATCCGGCCAAAAGGATTGGTAGCCCACGGCAAAAATGTGCCACCTCCGAAATCCATCCATCAGCCGCATTGACGAGCGAATCCGGGGAATCGATGGCAAAGCTGATCATGATGGCATGCGAATCAGGGTACGATAAAGGCCGGAGTCTGTCGTAGTCTGATTGGCCAGCCGTGTCCCATAAAGCGAGCTCGACATGCTTGCCGTCTACCTCCACGTCCGCGACGTAGTTTTCGAAGACGGTTGGGACGTATACCTCCGGAAACGTGCCTTTCGAGAAGGTGATATAAGTGCACGTCTTTCCGCAAGCACCGTCGCCGACAGCAACCATCTTCCTCCTGTAGTAGCTTGACTCGGCGGCGTAGTGCTTCGGTTCATCCAACCAAGCCACATGCCCCGGTGGCCAGTTCGCTAACGGTCGTTAGCATCTGCCGCACTGTGTATTCACTGAGACCTCAATCGTGAGGTAGGGAACTTACGATCGCCAACTTCGAGGGAGTTTTCATGCATAGTTCTCCATCCCGTCTCACCAAAGATATTGCTGCACAAATAAATTAGTCGGCACCATGATTTGGGAGCGGAACCACTTACTAAATGTGGGAGAATGGAGATGCCGTGCCATCTAAGCCAATCTTTTTAAAGGTCTTCTCAGGGCGAAACATCTTACGGGGAAGTACAACAACCTCTTCGGGGTTTTCTATTCGCAGTTTAGTAAATATGTAAAACTGGCAGGAAACCGGCCCCAAACCTTCTAGAGCGGTGGTCTGTTGCTCATCGGATTCTAATGGCAATTTTAGTGGGGTTCTTGAGTTACAATAACCAGGTAAAACACCTTTAGTACCAACGGGCTCTTGTTCGGCCGCTGGCAGTGTTGTTCTGTGGGGGAATTCCAACAGATTGACTTCCGTTTGTATCACCGGCGGCGACTCTACAAGCAAATCAGCCATCGGCAGGTTATAAGCTTCCGAGGTAAGGTTGAGAGCAGTTTTGTAGCTCCAGAGGCAATCCATTACGTCCTCAATCTGTTCGACGGCCGCACGTAGCTTTGGTGCACTAGACTCGAGATCCGGTCCGGCTACGCTCAAATAGAGCTCTGATTCAGAGCCTCGAGTTTCCAATGACTCTTTTGAATCTTCTACAGGCAATGCACTGGCGAATTCACTCATTGCAGACAGCCGTAGCTCTGTGTTGTGTTAACGAGATCCCCTACGTCAAATAATGGCATCAGTGAGCACCACGAGGAATCGAACGCACCTATTACACCCCCTATCAGTACTCCGGTTCGGACGAGCTGAATGGCAAGTCGCCGCAGCAATTTGGAAATCTTGGACATCAGCCGGTCGAAGCCGCTAAGCCAGTCCATGTCGCCAGATGAAAAGCCATCGCCATCTGGGCTCGGGAGACACTTCTTCCACTCTCTTAATCGAGTCAGACATTCTTTGAGACTCAATATCGCCTCGATGTTGGCCAAGGAAGCAGAGGTCGAACGTTTGGCCAAGTGCTTCACTATTTCAGCCATGTCCTCTTCGCAGATCGTGGCCAATTCAAGCGGGGTTGGTGTCTTGTCTTGGGGCAGCTGGACAGTTGGAATTTGAGACTTTTGCAACGTTTGCAAACATCAGCGGTCTGTCTTCCCATTATCTGGTTCTACGGTCTCTTACCACGACCTCGCCATCGCTTTCCTGCGCACCGATGAGGTCGATGCCGGGAAATTCAATCGGAGGAAGGATGAAGGGATTTGTCGGACTCTCCGCCATTCTGACTGCGAGCGTTCTAGTTGACTATTCTATCACGGATAACCCAAGCGTTCAGAGTTGGTCGTGCCAAGATTATCTACCCCGCATGAGGCTCTACTGTCGTTCCGAATATAGCAAGGCAGTCGGCTTTTCAGCTGGAGCAGAGGAGTTCTGCCCCGCCCCTCGTTTCTACGAAATTCTCATATCACCCCCCCAGGCCTTGAACCACCCTCAACCAGGCCAGAGAATGGAGGTCGCAGGCTTGGTCATCTCCGCCATTGGATTTGTCGATTTGGCGATCAAGAATGGGACAACGCTGGCCAGAGTGCTCCGCGATTCCAGTCAGGCGGCGAATCAGGTTGTCAACGCAACCCAAAGGCTGGAAGCGCAGAAGTACACGCTTGAGTTGTGGCAGAGGACATGGAACACAAAAGCTCGGCAGCGACGGAAAGACAACCTCGAGGACGGCTTTAAAGACCTCTGGGGCGAAGAAGGCTATGAAATGACGTTGAAGTGCCTCGCCCAGCTCAATGTCAAGTTTGGGGAAGCCTTTCGAACACTACGATCCATCGACCCTGACAGCTTTGAAAGTGTTACTGCGATAGGGAAAGGGCCAAGTCAGCAATCACTACCGCTGAGTCCCATGAAAGAGACTTCCTCAAACTCTGTCAGCCGTAGCCCTAGTGTGTCAGGCCGCAGTTCGTCGTCATCAAAGCTACAAACGCAAAAGGAACCAGAGTCGAATCCACGTTGGTACAAGCGATTATCCGTTTCTGACCGCAACGGGATCTGGAAGAGGAAAAAAAGGCCAAGTGTTGCATCGACAGCGGAAGGTCCGGCAGATGAGACTGCAGCAAAAACCATGCTCGCTCAAGAGGCACTACAGCAGAAGCTCAGCCCAGGGACGAAGTTCAAGTGGTCCATCTCGCTCAAGGAACAGCTGAGATCTCTCATCAACGACATCGATGACTGGCTCGCCCTTCTAAAAACACTTTCTACGCAGTGCGAAATCGACAGGACGACCAATTCTGCAGCGAGTAACAACTCTGACAACCCAAGTAGCATACGGGCGGCAGCAAGAGCTCTCTACACAGCGCTCCATGTCCCTAAAGGCCACAACCTCGACTTAAAACTCGAAAAAGAACGAGCCGACTCCGGGTATTTCGAGCGCGTGTTCGGTCCGGTGGACTACGTCGACCACACGGACCGCTCGTTCAAATTCCCTCTGCTGGTGTCCAGCAGCAAGGACGGGGAACAGCCCTTCCTGCTCCTCGCGGAAGCCATTTACTCGTCGGCGATGACCACGCCAGTCCTCCCCCTGGAGAAGATCAACACGCTCGAGGAAATCGTGGCGGCCATCAAGACGAAGCCGTTCAAGCGGAATGAGCCACCCGCCTCGCTGCTCTTCAAGAGCCAGCACACCACGATCGTCATCCACGGGATCCCCGGCGCATTCTCGCCCACGGTCGCAAAGGCCTTCTCGCGCTGCTCCTTCGCCGAGCTTCTCAAAGCACAAGTCGGCGTGGACCCCCTCGTCGCGTGCTGGAAGCGGCTGCAGCTCGCATGCATTATCGCCATCTCCGTGCTGCACCTCTACGAAACCGGCTGGATCTCAGAGCAGTTCGCGGCGAACGACTTCCACTTCTTCGGCGCGGCGAACAGCCAGTACGCCGAGCCCAACGGCATCTCGCCCTACGTGTCGGCCCTCGCGCCGCAGACCGATCTCACCGCCACACCATTCGACTGCTTGAAGAAGAACCAGCTCCCGCAGTCTCTGCTCAGGGCGCGAGATGTGCGGCTGGCGACGCTCTTCCACAGGCTCGGGATTGTGCTCTTCGAGCTTGGGAGGGGCGCGCAGTACCGGGAGATATTCACGGATGAGCTCCCGACCGAGGGCGAGGTGCTCGATGAGATTGAGAAGATTCCGTTCGGGCGCCCGTACAGGGATCTGGTCAAGGTCTGTCTGACTGGGAGTCTGTATGCAACGAGTGTGGTGAATATTGACAGTCATTTCAACCGTGTGGTCATCGAGCAGTAAGTCCTTGCCTCGGGCGTCGCTCGTGATTACATGTTTTACTAATGACCCTTTGAAAAGGTTGACACGACTGGAGCAGCACTTTAGTGCTATACTGCATGGCGAAACTTAATGTAGTAGGCTACATGTGCATAAGTCTCCGTTATTAGTGTATGGCAGTCCTGTCGGGACATGGCGGCATAGTAGCAGCGGGATTTCATAACAACAGCATCTTAATACTTAAGTTCCTATCTATAATATAATACTAGCAAGGAGACTGTATAGTATTATTTTTAGTATATTACCATATATTCTAGAAATTATAGGCTATATTTATAGGGGCACGCTAGTATAGGGTAGTGAGGCACTTTCATATAGTATAGATACCTATTATTAAAAAGGTTGTATTTTGTCTTTACTAGTTACTTACCGGCAATTTAAAGGGAAGGCGACTTCTTTAATAACCTTGAAAGAGGCTCCGGAGGTACTTGAGGACGCGGTAGCCGTCCCCCTCGTCTGAGCAACAGGAGATCTTGGATGCCGATGTGCGGCAACACCGGGGTCCTTCAGCACTAGAAAACGACCTATAGTTACTTGAAAGTGTCTAGATGAATGCGTGGTAACGGATGGATGCCGCGTGGTCGTCAGCCACGGAATAGGAAAGCCCGTCCGCGCTACTAAATTAGCACCGAGTCCTCCTAAATAAGAGTTCGACACATTATAAATCTCATCTTCGCACCCTATATCTTCTTTCATTACCATCCTCAATGGCGGCCCCTCCCCACAGGCACACTCCTCTCCAACCTCCTACGTCGCCGCAGTCAACACAAGATCATCCAAAAAGACGCCCAGGTTGACGCCCGTCCCGTCCGATCCCGGACAGGTCAGTGTCATAGCCAGCCTACCGGTAGTGCCAGCAAACTGGACACCCGTTGCCGTCGTCTGATACCACCCCGGCACCCCGGCAATGGGATAGGTGGGCAGGTTCGACGTCGCAAACGTCGCGCCGTCAGCCGCGAACGCGATCTGGCACGTGAGCCCCAGAGTCCCCGCACTGCGCCTGGTCCACCCGCTGAAGTTGTACGACGCGCCGGGGCACGCGGTCATGGTCTTCGAAAGGGTAACGGTGACAGTATTGACGTTGAGCATGAGGCGGCACTCGCGGTTGCCACCGTGCTGGGGGAAAGCGGTGCTGCCGGCGCCGGTTTGGTAGAAGCCCTGATTGGCAGGCACCGCGACGGCTTGCCAGATGGAGTCAGATGCTGCGGTCTCCAAGTCGCCGTTCATGATAGGTGTAGCTGCGGCGCCTGTGCAGACTGGGGCCGGCGTAGGGGTGGGGGTGCTGGGTGGTGTCAGTTTCTCATACGCCCGTCTAGTCGAAAAGAAATGGAAGCGTAACGTACCTGCTTGAGCTGGAGACCGTGCATGTAGTGGAGCTCGCCTCAGATGTCGTGGAGCTGCCTCGCTTATTGTGGTAGATACGGCTTCGCTAGTTGTGGAGCTGAAATCGCTTGTGGCTGAGCTTGCATCAGATGTAGCGGAACTGGTATCACTGCTCGTTGTAGAAGCAGGCGCATCTGAGGTCGTTGAAGAAATATCGCTGGTTGAGCTAGGCTCGCTGGTTGTTGTGGTATCGGGATAAATCTCAGTAGTAAAGCTGGTAGACTCTGCAGTAGTCGTTGAATAGACATCACTGGTCGAGCTGGACTCGCTTGTGGCAGTGGTGAACGTCGTGGTATCGGGATAAACCTCAGTAGTTGCGCGCGTAGAGGACTCGACAGTGCTCGTTGAAGAGACTGCTCCGCAATAATCGACCTTCTTAGCGCCCAGAATTGCACTATTCGGACCCTCATCTGTAACCGTGTCTTTTAGGTAGCAAAAGCCAGGTCCTCCGTTAGATCCTGGAAGCCAAGAAACAGCGATACACTCAGAAATCTCAGCGCATGCCTCAATACATCCGTCTAAGCTTTCAATAACCTGTGGGCTGTTCACATTATCAGCTCCATAGTAGTACGTGCCGCAGCTAACGGCCCAATAGGTGCTTGACGACACAACACAATCGCTGTCGGGGCACGGGGCTGGTGTAGGGGTAATGACTGGGGTGCTTGAAGAAGAGAGATCGCTGCTGGTGCTGGCGGGGGCTCGGTGGTTGTCGTTGAATAGACATCGCTAGAAGTAGAAGACTCAACGGTTGTCGTAGGATAAATTTCCGTCGACGAGATAGTCGAAGTTTCCGAGCTCGAAGACGAAGAGGACTCGACGGTTGTGGTCGGGAAAATTTCAGTGGATGAGATGGTTGAAGACTCTGGAGTCGAGCTAGACGTAGATGAATCTGCTGTTATGGTTACATAGATCTCCGTCGATGAAAATGTTGTAGAATCCGAGCTTGAAAGGGAAGTCGATGAAGACTCAGCAGTCGTGGTTGGGTAAATATCAGTAGACGAAGGTTCGGCGATTGACGAAGAAAGCGACGAGGACTCGACCGTCGTGGTGGGGGAAGTATACGTAGACGAAGAATCGGTGGCCGACGAAGAGATTGACGAGGATTCGATAGTTGTGGTTGGATAGACTACCGCAGAAGAAGTGGACGATGAAGACTCGACAGTTGTCGAAGGATAGGACACATCAACGGAGGACGAGCTCGAGGACGTGACTGGATAGCCAATTGTAGACGAGCTGGATGAATATGATGTACTACTCGACGACGCGTAGACGATCGAGGATTCTGAAGCTGACGAGGAAGCAGGGGCAACGAGGGAGGATTGTGTCACAACGTGAGAGGTCGAAAATTTGCTCGTAGTGCTCGATGATATGCATGGCATGGAGAAAGTAACTGTATATGCTTCAGAGACGGACACTGAAGACTTGGCCGAGGATCTCGACAAAGTGTCGAAGGTGCCTGACGACTTGCAAGGAGTGGTCGAGCTGGATTTGTGCGCGGACGTGCTTGAAACCTTCTTAGTGTTCGAGACCTTCTTGGACGAGTAATAACCAGCTTGAGAGCTAGAGTTGTGGGCAGGCTTCGGTTATAGAAGGACAGAGTAGCCATAGGACTGCGAGATGATATAGTTATCGTGGCCGTGGCGATAGCCGTGATTGGTCGCATGAGTGGGACCCCAGGTCTCACTGTACAAGGTGCAATATAATACTCGGGTTGCAGCAACCTAGGATCAGCAACTCATACGGTTCACTAGGTATCCCTTATAGTCCGCCTTTACGGCATCTACAATACAACAGAGTTCACATCAATTTCAACCTGAGTGCAATTGTAGGCGATCCGCTACATCACAGCTCGCGCTACCGAACGTCACCTCCTCGCATGCTCCACCGTGCTAGCAGCGCTGCCTAACATACCTGCATACTACTTCCCAAGCCGCGTAGAACGACGCCCCCTGACCCTCATTCTCTCTCCCCGTTGTACGCGCATTGAACCGGACACGCCCCGTTCTCGCTAAGAGTAGTTCGCCGCCGAATGGTTCCAACTCTCGTTCCTCAGGTGCAGGGTCTCGTTCCTGAGGTCCTGGTTCTCGTTCTTTAGGCGGCCCACCAACAGCTTGTTCTCATTCCTTAGGCGGTCCATCAACTAATGGTGCTCTATGCGTAGTCTGACCACCATAGACAGGAAAGCAGAGAGAACAAGGTGGGAGGATGCGAGGTAGTCGTCGTGGCGATGAGAGACGCTCCTCCCCAAGGACACGGGCATCACGTGTCGTTGTACGTGAATGAAGTGTTGATTGTTATGAGTTTTTTGACTATCTAGAGAGAGAGAAGAGACTTGTAGGAGCTGTACAGCTGTACAGCTCCTACCTTGCCTTCATCAGGCGCATCTGATACTGACGAACTCCTGATGATTCCGCCAGCAATCACCATTCCAATATACCAGCACCTCCCTCATCGCTAGCCTATATCCAACAATCCAATGTAGAACCTCAGCCGATGCTTCTTATCCGCGGTTGTGCCGTCCGTAACTCGGGTTGCAGCACTACAACCTAGGGTCAGCAACTCATATGCAGTAACGTATCAGGATAGCATGCTGATACAGGAGGAAGTAACAGGTAGTGCAACAGCAGTGCTGCAGCACGGTATCAGTACTGTATCAGGAAACAGGATGAATCAAGTAACGCGTCAGGAAGAGATACCACGTTATGCCCCCGGGGCTGGCCCCCCTCCTTCCCCTAGTATATAAACAACGAGCTAGACACCCATAGAAATCAGAGTTCACATCAATTTCAACCTGAGTCCGTAGGCAGGCCTAGTGCTGTTAAGACCTGATCTAGCACAGGACCTTGCATATTCCAAAGCTGAGCGGGTGTGACAGGAAAACCTGGAATACTGGCGTTTGTTGTATAGTCACGGAGTGCGGTTATAGAGTCGCTGTTCCTCCTAATACAAGCGTTGTCAAGGCGGGCAATAGAATTGTACTCGCTGTATAGTTATAATTAGTTAGCAGATAAGCAGGACATCTAAATAGTATTCACTCACCTAGCCTGGTGTCCTGTGGTGCGGAGTTGCTGTATCTGTTGCTGCATCTGCTGCATCTGTTGCTGCATCTGCTGCATCTGTTGCTGCATCTGCTGCATCTGTTCCTGCATCTGTTGCTGGTTTTGCTCGGTTACGGCTTGCTGAGGGGGATTGACGTTTGCCATGGCTTCGAGTGGTGGGAAGGCTTCAAGTGGTAGGAAGGCTTCGAATAGTGGGAAGGCTTCGAGTGGTGGGAAAGCTTCGAGTGGTGGGAGAGCTTCAAGTGGTGGGAAGGCTTTAAATAGTGGGTAGGCTTTGAGTGGTGGGAAGAAGACTTAAAGAAGTGAGCGTGGTGCGGGGTGTTATAGAGTGTGGTTGGAAGATAAGCAAACTAGGGGGTATTTGATTCACCGCTCTATCGCAAACTATCTGCTTCCATCGAGTTCTCGGCGGTTGCGCGCTGCATTCTGATATTGAGGTCGCCTATCCGCCGCTTCAGGTACTCAACCCCTGCACTCAACCATTGCCCATCCCCGACATTGTCATCTCCTGTTATCTCGAAACTTTCTTGTGTAATTGGTGCTGGGTCTAGAGATGTGAAGAGTGGGCCGAGGAGTTAGGGGAGTCGGGGGACGCCGAGTCCGGAGAGTACGTCGCAGCGCAGTGGAATGGGGAGAGAGGTGGAGTTAAGGAAGGAGTGAAATTGGGTTACGTCAGGTCCCAGAACGTGGCAGCTGGCGTAGGAAGGGCAAAGGATCAGTGAGGAAAGCATGAGTTGTATTGAGGTGCTAATGAGTGGCTATATAGTGAAGAGAGACCAGGGGTTGCAGGCAGCAACGGTGACAAAACAACAGGTGAACCCTGTCCAGCTGAGAAGTGAACCCTGTACAGCTGAGACGCGTAGACAGACGTGCGTAGGAGCATTCTAACTGGCTGCCAGAACGCGGCACTTAAAGCCGACCCCTTACGCAGCCAGGCCGACACTCAGTTAGCCGCTTAAGCCGCCTTGCTTTTCTTGGACGCCCAGATGGAGGATGCAAAAATAACGCTCTCCCTAACGTTACAGTCTCTAACGACAGCATTGTATGGTGGGTGGGTGATAGAGGGAGAGGCTAGAGTGGTGATGAAGATGAGCAGTGTTGGTGCTAATGGCGACCTTAAGGATTAGATTACAACTAGTGTACTCTTAAATGGAGATCCTTAGTAGCATTGAAGGGTAAGGATGCTCATCGTTATGCATTAATTTTACTCTAACAAACCATAGGCGGTGTCCCGTGGGTGTTTTACACCCAACCAACAAATCGTAAGCCGTGACCCTGGATCACTTTACGCCCAGCCAGATACATAACACTACTATGATTCTTCGATATCCTGTATTTGATAACCACACCCCATACATGTCTCCCTCTAACTTAATCAGAGGTAAGATTTCTATTAATATTTAGGGGAGGGATAATAGTACACCCCCTAATCACTCCTCATACACCTCCTTTTCACTCCACGTACACCCCCCCCCCTTTTCTTGGCGCTTCATCACCTTCTCATTAGCTCGGAGAGCCCCGGAGCTTCCTCCGGGCATTCACCCTTACGTCTCTTTACACGTTATGCTGTACGCAAGGCCGTATATAAGCTTACACATAAGGCTATACATAAGGCTATACAAATTAGTATAGCTATACAGCCTCTCCGTTTTACAGCGCATCCTTTCTAATTTGTGCAGCCGTATATATAGCCTTATATACAGCCTCACGTACGGCTATATAGCTATGCCGATTTGTATAGCCTCACGTATAGCCTTACGTACGAGCTCACGTACGAACTTACGTATAGCCTCACGTACAAGCTTACGTACGAGCTCACGTACCAGCTCACGTACGAGCTTATATACAGCTGCAAAAATCAGATAGCCTGCGCTGGAGGCTATATAGCCATGTAATTGCTTGTGTTGTACATGGCCGCATTTAGAGAGAGCATTTGGAATTAGTAAGCAAGTTAAGCGAGCGAATTGGAAGCTCCGGAGTAGTTATTGTGCAGCGCGGCTGCGCAATAAGGTGGTGTTAAGCCTCGCTAACATAACATCCTGTGCAGGCACCGGTGGAAACCACCCCAATGACATCCATAGCTCACAGCGTCGATCCTCCAATCAAGTTTGCAAGCTCAGCTCTCGGCCGCTGCAAGTGCGCGTTGGATTTGCTGCTGTCGAAGCGAGCGCGTCCGATGGTGCCAATGCGCTCGACGTCGTCGTGAATGAGCCGGTGAATGGGAAGGACTTCGAGGCGGGCGGGTCTGTCGGCTTGGCCTTCAACGACGCGGCCGACTGGAATTCTCTCAACGGGCGCAACGAGTTCGGCTGTGTCGTCGGAGCAGGTCTGTACAAGGAGCTCGACGCATTTACAGCGTGTGAAAGCACAAACGCCGGGTGTTAACGTGCCGCCTCTAGCGCTTGCTCGAGTAGCCTGGCGGCGGAAGCGTCATTATAGGTTCTGGAGTCTGCTCGATCCAGAGTAGTAGTGTTATGCACTTGGGAGGATGTGATCTTCCAAGTTGGGTTTCCACTGCCCCCACCATAGACGGTTTCGCAATCGGCGTTTGCAACCAAACTTCCATCAGATCTAGTCGGTAAGTATCTTACTCTCCTATCCAACCCTTCCCCCCCAATCAAACCAATCATCGTATGTTGTGTATTTAACCACACGCTCAACTCATGAAATGAATGGAGATACTTTTTCAAAGCTGCCCATGATCCAACTTCTCTGCTCGGTCCGAAGGATGGAGGAGGGGATTTTTATATACTCCGGAGAAGTTGGAGGGGTAGGAGGAGTGGGTGGGCACGTGTGGGTCACGGGGGTGGACACACCCGTGCGTCACGAGAGTTCGAAATGCACGGGTTGACTTGGAGTTGAGAGGTAGAAGTACCTTTGTACTGTGCTTTCGGATTTGTGTATGCGCTGAAGGTGTATTATGGGCGCTAATTTGCTTCGAGGGCCAGGCTCGGTGAGGTGATGGAGGATACGGGGGGGGTGGACGCGTGTATGCAGGCCGTGCAGTCCGTTCGAAGTAATTGTAGCTATGAGGTAATGGACTGTGACCTTTGAGATGGAGGAAAGTGCATACGTCTCCATTATTTCGACAACCACAAGATGGAAAAAATCCTTAGGATTTAGCCCTCAACCTAGCTATTGGTCAGTTCCCCCTCTATCTCAAGTGCTTGCTTAAGAGGTGGCCACATGCCTATCGCACTCCAGCAAGAATCGCACCAGCTCGCTCCGGTTCAGCCTGAAAGTAAGCGTTCGCCCGTCTCTACCGATGTTTTCCTTCCTAATCTTAAACGCCTCAAAGTCCCACCCACGATTACGCATTTCCACATCATCCAAAACGTAAATTTCACGTGTACTGTAGTATTCACGGTAAGGAGAGTGTGTTGCTTTGCTCACGATATCAAAGATGTTGGAACTACGTTGCCGTGGCGCTACAGGCCTTGCAATAAAGCCAGCGCGTATAGTTATCCCCTCCGTTCGTTCGAAATAGTAGGCCAGGTCGCTTTCCTTACATTATCATTTCCAAACCCGATGTTATGAGCATCGTTGTTGAGGAAAAGCTCGTCGTATCCACCTTCATTAGATCGCTTCTTGCCAGTGTGGAAGCTGGTGACAAAATCCTCTTCGTACCTGATTTCGGTGACGGGCCCCATGTACTTTGCGGTTACAGCGAAGGTTCCTTCGGAAGCATGGAGCGCAAGCTCAAATGCTCGCAGTTCTTTCTGATCGAATTTCTCGGGCTACGGAAGACGCAACGACTTGACCTGAGGCTCATACGTCCGAACATCGAATTCATAAGCCGCAACAAGAGCGAAAAACAATTCTTCCAGGCTCTTTGAATAATCTACCCAGATCGCCTTGTCGTCGGCCAAGGTCAAGAAGGCGAATACTGGATCACGACGGTCTTTGCATTCGGCATGCTCATAACAGAGCAGAAAGTAACTCAGATCGTGTTTGGAGGCCCTTGCTTCCCGATCTCGAGTATAGAACAGTTCTTCGGCATGAGAGCGACGGATACTTCGATAGGGCTGTTTTGTCATGGTACTGTAAATATGTTCATTTGATATTGATGCGCGTCCACTTCGCATTTCCTCCTTCGAATCCTTCGCCGTGCATGAGGCCATGGACATAACTCTCACCCACAAGCGTGAATTCGCTTTTGTCGTCCTCCGCGTTCCCAATTCCTTGAAGAATATACGGCAGTGTCGCACCCGGTATCAGCACCACCTGATCACCAGCCTGCATCGTCTCAGGTCCGAGTCCTAGGTACCCTCTTCTTGTCACGAACCAGCGTCTGCCGGCGTTGATGTCGTAAACGGCCTCTGAAACCTCGGATGTCGGGTAGAGAGGCGCAGTGCCGGTGTGCGTTGAAGTGAAGCCATCAGCTTTGGAGTCCCAGTTCCACTTTCTAGAATGAGGAGAGTTGGGACTGTCCTCGTGGGACGGAAAGACGCGAGCTGACGACGTGGTGTCTTTCATAGGGGGATATCCCGACTTCGCATCAGTGGTGGAGCGGGATCGGGCGAGGTCTGGACGAACGTCTGGTTTCAAGAACCCATCATCGTTCACAAGTGTGCTCTCCGAGGATCTTTGCGTTGGTTCAGGTCGTCGGCCTGGACTGGAAGCACTCCTGCCACGTCGCCGTGCTTCCTCATTCCGCCACGCAGCAGGCGTTTTTGTTTTCGACTGTAAAGTCAGCGCTCTGCACATTTCAATGACCTCTTCCGGCACTGGATGGGCCTCTTTGTACACGTCGGCCAGGATCGTACGACTATATGCAACTGAGGTGGGCTCGTTGGTAGGCGCATAGGTGGGCCCAATTTTGCGGTTTAAGAGCTCAGAGGTGCGCAAAAGGCCTGCATGGCTCGAACGCATGAAGGTGAAGAACAGAACTTTCGGAAGCGCTTCGCCAACGATAGAGACAGAGTCCCAAAGGGCAGCGCGAAGCGAAAGAGTCCGGCCGGATCTGGAGATACGTATGTCGGCGCTGGAAGTGCCACCGGAGGAGTAAATAGATGTGCCGTAGTCTTTGAAAGGTTTGGGCCACAGCGGTGCGTTGAAATCGGGAACCCAGGTTGGTAGCTCGAGTGAGCGCTCGTAGCTTTGATCGACTAAGGAAAGGGCATCGGGGCCTATTTTGGAGAGGAGACACCGGAAGCAGTCGAGGTAAACTTCTGGTACGGTTTTGCTGTAATCAGCTTGGAGGAAGCCGGCGTCTGAAGCAGTGGAACTCTGTGATCGATCTCGATGGCGTATAGGTAGGCATAATGAGTCATTGCTGGAGATAGAGAGGATCGCAAAGACCTTATCTCTAGCATCGCCGCACTCCCGGCTACGAGCTAGGCCTACGCATTTCTCAAGAGGCCATAGCTGGTTCTGTACATGGTAGCTTCGCGCCTCAAGCATCATGCGTATCGACTCCAGATGTTGCGATAGGGGATGTGTTCGCATATGGGTGTCCGTCGCTTGAGATGCGTAGAATCCGAGATCTAACAGTCTGTGAAGACCCTTCTCCAAAGTCTCCAAAGAGACCTCATACGGACCAATGTAGAACTGTAGCTGTTTCGCTAGGACGATTTCTTGAAGTACCCACGTCCTCCGGAACCAGCGACCTCGGAAAAGTCTGAATAGGTGTAGCCATTCTTCGGGACCCTTTCGGAGCAACTCCTGGAAGATGAACTCGAGGGACGTCTTCGGCCCGCGCGACTCTTTTGATGTTTCTGCGTTTTGGACGTTGCTGTCGTACTTCATTACCTCGGTACACACGTTTTTGATATCGTCCGGTTCTTGATTAGGCACAGATGGTAGCTTGGACATATAATCGATGGTCCGCGTTGTTGTTTCCGTAGCCTTTCCTAGCCATACCACGACCTGTCGGGCTGAGTCGAATATCCTTCCCATCATATTAACTTGCGCATTTCTTTCGTGGACGTTCGACTGATCAATACAGATGGCATCAATCCAGATCGCCGTTCGACGTCGGGATCTCCTGCGTAGATGAAGTAAAGCATCGTGGAGATTGGGAGTAACCTTCAGATATTGGTCGTTGCAAATGATGGTCTCGTTTCCCACGCCAATGTTAGACAGCTTCTCCCATTGCTTGGCCACTTTGCCGATTCTGCTGCTCAACGATACCACTTCAAGGAAGCCCGATTGATCCTTCTGCCATGTGTATGACAGTGCTTCGTAGACGGGATTGTCATCCAGGTCGGCTTCTGTCATGGTGCATCGTAGAACGCCAGCCCCGTGATCGCCTTTGATTCGAAGAAGTCGGATTGAGGTCTCATTCTTCAAGGGTGTATATACTCCAGATCGATTGAAAAGTGACGAGATACCTTCCGTCAACCTATGGCGAATTTCCTTCTTGGAATTGGAATTCATGGCTGGAGGGTCGTTTGATTATGATGGGAAGTAGTGTGCAACGAAAAGAATGCTCGTGACCATGCGGAAAGCTGTGAGCATCGGTGTTGAATCTGCGGGATCGATATGAGTGGCATGATGAGACCGATGAGTATGACAATCAATAGACGGCAACATGCGGGCGGGGATATCGGTCGATTTATAATAAGAGATGGGCGGCCTCAGCCTCACCTCTTGGAGCTGGAGGGTGAAGCGTTGCGGGGCCAGGCTGCCAGGCTGTCAGGCGTTGTTCTGCATAGAAGCGAGCGTGGCTTGCAGAGGTTCGCGTGATATTCCCGATAAATCCGCTCTGTAGCTACATAGGTATATTCAGTTAGGGGTGGCTGGCAAGGTTTCCAGGCAATCAAGACTGTAAAGTTAGGTTTTCGTTTAGTTTGAATGAGTATCGAAGTGTTTCAGACAGAGTGTACCCAGAGCTACTGTGATACTATGACGCTGTAGCATCACGTGATTTGCCACTTCAACTCAGCCCCAGGCCAGTTTCACAGCCTTCTTCAGGCAGCAACAAGTGGCTTGGATGGGAGGGAACACAATTCATGGTAATACGTGATTGAATACAATGCTATATTTGATATCCTTAAATCATAATCCCCTCCAAGACATCGCTGGCAATGGCAAAGCCGTCTAAACCGATCCCGGATAAGGGGAAGACCGCCGAGCATACAAAATGAATGAAGACGCCTCCCACTAAATCAATACATTGATGAATGCTCGTAATCCAAAAGCCGGGCGCGTGGAATAGGCAGATACAACCCGCATGCGCTCTTAAGGGGCCCTAAAGATGAGCTACCGGCGTGTAAACGGACTTTTGGCAGTATGCCTACGTCACAAGGTGACCGAGGGAGCTTTTGTGCAGGAAGTTTCTCGCAAGACTGCGGGTATCTTGGTTCATCATGAGGCGCCAGCCGATGCCGAGTTCTCTACGGCCTTCTCCTTGCCTTTATCCGACTTCTTCTCATCGTCCATGTAGAGATCATGCTCGTAGATGTAGTCGACGACTTTGTCGGGGATGAGGTATCGAATACTCATGCCTCGCTTGCGGAAGAGCCGGATCTTGGTGGATGACACGTCGTTTTGGATGAGTTGTTGGATGACTCTGATGTTGTCTCTCCACTGCTGGAGACTGGCAAGCGCATCGTCTGCACCAGTCAGAGTGAGATTTAGTGTGAGGTTTGTGTTTAACGTACCAATATCTGTGCCACTGCGCTCGAGAATGAATGCACCGTAGTGGCCAAGGATCCTGTCCAGGTCCTCATGCGCCCAGAGTCCTGGCGTGCTCATAGTTTGGATGAGATCGGCGCCGGCGAGCAGAGCAACGTGGATGCGCTTCTTCTCCCCCGTCTGTGTCTCTATTCCACCAAGAACGTCGTTCAGTTCGTAGTCGAAGTGGTCCAGGACCTTGACGGTCGGCAGGTATTCCTTATGCAGTGGCTCCCAGGCATCCACCCCAATCCAATCTGAGCTCTCCCTGACGGCGATATTTGTCATGTTGATCCGGTGCTGCGCGGAGACCAAGCCAGCCTTCTTGTACGCATCGCCTACGGGACTGAAGAAGCCGCCGATAAGCTCGTACTGGGTTTGGAACTCGCAGTAGTCGGAAGCCTGCTCGAACATGCGCAGATGGAGGTTCGTCGGAGGAGAGAAGGAGCCACACGAGACGAGCACGAGGGGCGTCTTGGAGTCATCTTTGAGGACCTTGCGAAGGCGGTCCGTGGGGAATTTGTAGTTGGCCAACGTCATGACGGTGTCCTGCTGGGCGTTGCCGTTGGGCGCGCCACCGTTCTGGCCGAATGCCAGGGTCGGAGTATCTGACATGGTCCTGCGCGGCGTCCCTCCGTGTCGTTTGATGTTCGTGCAGTTTCCGCGAGCGAGAGTATGTCTGTCCGAGGTTCCGAAGCGCGAGAGGAGGGCGATGGGTATGAATGGTATGGGGTATGAATGGTATGGGGGGACGAGTGGTTGAGGTTGTCAGAGGTGGTTTTAGGTTGGAAGGAACAGTGAAAGGGCCAGGATAGAAGCGAGAGAGGGTCGATCGTGTCGTTGGAGGCCTTGGGTATGACTAGCAGATGTGTAAGTAGAAGCTAGGAGGTAGCCGTCCGCTATAGTGGCGCCTGGCGGGGTTCGGCGGGAAATGCGAGAAGGGCGAAAGGGTCAGCCTGGCGGGCGCGAGACGAGGGGGCGAGCGTCTTAAGTAGGGCGATTGAAGGGTCGGCCCAAAGGAGGCAGCGGGCGGAGAGGGCAAGGCAGACGTGGTGGTTTCGACGGCATCTTGGGGCTGGAGTCACGTCCTTTTAAGTCACTTGCCCGTCTGCCAGAGGGAAGCGGAGGGGCAAAGCTTGGGCCAGACACGCCGAAGTGTCGAGCTATTTCCGCTGCCTGTGGTCCCGCGGGAGAACAGCACAGCCTCTTCTGGGAAGGTTTGCCTGTCTGTCTCTTTATTCTATTGCTTTCAAGCGTCTCGAGCACCTTCGGGGCCGCTGCTAATCTCCAGCATCGCGTCGAGTGATGGCCTGTTGCTCGGAATCCACCGAGCTTCCCCACGACAGCCAGACCCGTGTCGTGACAGCCCAGGATTGCTAATCGAAGCGCGGGATTCCGACGTGGAGAGGCTAGGCCGGTATTATGAGAGCTCGGATGTAAATATTCGTGCTTTTAAATGCTTTCGTTGGGTAGAATAGGTCACTGTTCGCCGGACTCGGAGCTGGGCCCGTTGAAGGCAAGCTGGGTGACGCCGAGGCCCTTCAATGTATATTCAGCATAGATATGTGAACATGCCTTACCAGCTGAATCATTGCATTCGAGCCGTGTTGCTTCCATGATGCCCGTGTGATGAGTGAATGATCGTGGTGAGGCTGAAAGAGCCCCGTCGCCCCATCTTGACCCCGTGAACTCAACACCATAAATTCTCCCATCTAGCCACGTGAGATTCCCAAGTCTCACACTGCAACTGCAGCTGCATCGCAGGCTACGGAAAGAACACCGCCGTGTCTACCGGCCTGGCCTGCTGTGCTTCTGTGCTCCGGCGAATATAACAAACCACGCCCTCCGCATCACACGTCTAAGCGGACTGGGACCCGCATCTCTACCACGTCCATCCATCCATCGCCATCTCAACTCACCCAGCTACCTTGCAACACCACCACCCACACTCCCATCCACGCCCGCTCTCCATCGCCCGGCCTCCCTCACTTCACGCACGACCCTACGGCCTCGCACGGCCCGTCCCTCTTTCCTCACATTCACCGCTGCTCGCTTGCACGGCCTATGGCGAAGTCGTAGGCTTTGGCATGGACCGGGTGCGTCGACAACCATCTACATTTCTCGAGAACCCGACCACGTCGTCCAGGTACACCCCACCATCTCATCACACCTGCACCTCTCCAACTCTCCTTCAGCTCCGCGACCCGCGTCCACGACCACCTCTCACCTTGCTTCATCGGCACAGCTGCGACGCCCATCGTTGGGGCCACAGTCTGGGTTGCGAGCCATCAAATACCAAGCAATTAGTTTCTCATGCCTCCCAGAGTCACTCGCTCTTCTGCGAGGCTCTCAGCAGGTTCCGCAAACGCCTCGCCGCCGCAGCCCCCCGCACCGCCGCCCCTAACAGCGGCCTCGAATCGTAAACGCAAAGCACCTGCTAGAGATCTGAGCCCCGAGCAACCCGCAGACAATCCCCCGGCGCCACCTACAACTCGAGCACGGCAGAAGAGGGCTAGAGTAGAGGCACCAGACCCAGCGCCGACGCCAGCTCCTGCCATCTCGTCGAGACTGAGGAAGGGCAAAGGGAAATCTGCAATGTCCACGGGCGCGTATGTTAAGCCCCATCATGAATATCTATCATCTGCTAATAGCTGCAGTCCACCGGCAGAACCTTCCGAGGAGAACACAACACCACAAGGCCCGTCCTCATCAACTAAGAAAGGCAAGCCAAAGGGCAGGAAGGAAGCACAAGGTACGATGTCGTGATACCATCATACTTTCAGCTTCACTAACTTGGGCTAGATCCAGCAGCAGTGGCCGCTACCCCATCATCCTCCAGGCGCCCCTCACGAAGGTCAGCTGCAAAGACCGACGAAGATGTCCCCATGAACGATGCTCTCGACAAACAGTCACCCCAAGGAAGCAAGCCCAAAGCGGACCAAGCCCGACCGGATATGAGCGACAGCAGCAGTGGCGAAGGGCCGCCAGGGCACCGGCATTACGACGACGAAGATGATGACGACGATCCGTTCGGAGGAGCTTATCTACGTGGCGGGGCTGGAGGGCTTTCCAGCACACTGCGAGCCCTCAGCGGCATGATGTCAGGAGTCTCGGGACGGCTACGAGGGATCCTGGAGCAGCTACGCTCGAAGGATCCATCTGTCCAGCTTATTGCTCTGACTGAGTTCTCGGATCTGCTCCTTGTGTCGACGGAAGACAACCTCGCCGGCCATTTCGCACCGGATCAATATGTCAAGGAGTTGGTTACACTCATGCAGCCAAATGATTTTGGTGAAGAGAACCCTGAGATCATGCTCCTTGCCTGCCGATGCATTGCCAACCTAATGGAAGCGCTTCCTGCTGCGACTGCCAACGTGGTATATGGTAACGCAGTCCCCGTTCTGTGCCAGAAGCTGCTCGAGATCCATTACATCGACCTGGCCGAACAAGCTCTTAGCACGCTCGAGAAAATCTCCGTCGAATTTCCAGCATCCATTGTACGGGAAGGAGGGCTTACCGCATGCCTGACTTATCTAGACTTTTTTGCAACGAGCACGCAGCGAACCGCCGTTACCACCGCGGCAAATTGCTGCCGGAATATCCCCGAAGAATCTTTCCCTACTATTCGGGATGTAATGCCTATCCTCCAGGGTGTTTTGAACAGCAACGATCAGAAGGTGGTAGAGCAAGGCTCTCTTTGCGTCTCCAGGATTGTGGAGAGCTTCAAGAATCGCCCGGAGAAGCTCGAGGAGCTGGTTAGTCCCGATCTACTCAAGAACGTCCTCCGCCTACTGCTACCCGGAACAACGAACCTCATCGGAGCCAACATCCATACCTTATTCCTCCGAGTGCTTTCGATCACGGCACGAGCGAGCCCGCGTCTCTCCGTCGAGCTATTCAAAATGAACGTAGTGGATACCTTGTATCAAATCTTAACCGGTGTATCTCCCCCGAGCGGTCTGGATGACATCGCTACTAAGATCGATAGCGTTGTCGTTATGCAAGCCTTGATTCATCGTCCCCGAGACCAGATTTTCGAAACCCTCAACGTCATTTGCGAGCTGCTTCCAAGCGTCTCACAAGAAGGTCTGATCTTCTTGGACAACCTACCCGATGCCGGTTTTTTAAGTGATGATCTCATGTCGATCCCGTCAGGGCCCAAGAAATCTGCAAACGAAAAGAGAATTGAGCTATTGGAGGGCTGCAAGGACCAAGTCAAGCGATTTGCTGTCATCCTCCTTCCAACTCTCACAGATGCATATTCAAGCACTGTAAATCTCAATGTACGACAAAAGGTGTTGACCGCGCAACTCAAGATGCTCTCCAATTTGGATGTCGACATACTCGAAGATGCCCTCCGAGCAGTTCCATATGCCTCCTATCTAGCGTCGATACTGTCACAGCAGGATCACTTCACGCTAGTCAAGTACGCCCTTCAAGCGGCAGAGCTGCTCTTGAAGCGCCTGGGATCTATTTACCGATACCAGTTCTACCGAGAGGGCGTCATTGCAGAAATTACGAGAATTGCAAATCGACCTTGCAAGACGATAGACGAGAAGCCGAAGACCGTAAAGGCCGCCATCGAGATCGAGCGCGTAGGAACATCGAGCGCGGGAACCAGCTCTGCGGGTGACATTGATATTGATCACGATATCGACGAAGAAGTCGAGGCAGAGCTGCGTTCCGAAGACGACGACGACCAGGACGAGCAGGAAGACAATGGTGATAATCGAGACGATGATGAAGATTCGGATTCTTCTTCATCTTCGGCTAATCATTACGTAGTCACTCTTCCAGAGCCTAGCATCGAAGATGAGATCACACAGCGCGCGAAGAAGTTCTTGTCGGTCCATGAAAAGGAGAGCTCGAAACCTATCCGAGACAAAGCAGCAGGAACTCAGGAAGACCTCAAGGAATTGGCGCAGGATATCAAGTCATGCTATCTGGAGGGCAAGGGAGGCCAAGGCATTGAGTTGTTCATGCGTCTGGCTGCTTACTTTAATGGTGATGCCTTGGAGAGCATTACCAGCTACGAACTCCTGAGCTCAAACATTGTTGAGGTTCTCCTGCAGGTATTCTCTGGACCAGACAGTACTGCTAGTGCGAATGCGAGATCTGCATTCTTGGAAGCATTCATGGGTTCCGACACCCAGAACAGGGTTAAGATGTCAAACAGCAGCTCTCCGGGAACGGCTTTCAGCATCCTGACAAACAAGCTACAGGACCTTCTCAGTCGAGCCGAACACTTTGAGGTTATCACCGTTCATCAGCATTCATATGACAGCAATCGAAGCAGCGCGGCATCCATGCTGGCAAAACAGCTCCGTTTGAAACTCGTCGCCGATGAAGATTCCGGCATCCCAAAGGCCTACCGCAACATTATGGTATCCATTCATGCTATTGCGACCTTCAAGGCCCTTGACGATTACCTACGACCAAGAATAAGCGTGTCCGAACGACCACCTAGGCACGGTAGAAACCGTGATGGATTGACTGGACCTATGGCTGCTGCATACGCTGCAGCAATGGCTGGTGCTGATGGTCGAGCCTCTGCCGGAACACCTCCAGCTCCACCTCCTGGAGAAGCGACAAATCGTAGCTCATCCAGAAAGACTTCAAAGTCAAAAGCCGCGGCTGCCGCTTCGACTCCCCAAGGAGGCCCTAGCACTCAACCCGAGAAAGCATCAGGCACTCGCAAATCAAGCAGGCGACAAGCGCAAGCTCAGGCTCCTCCGCCCCCGCCGCCTCCGCCTGCTCTAGCGCACTCTGAAACCATCCAAGATCCAATCGAGTGTGCTGATGAAGAACGACTTTCTGAACAAGATGAAATGGACGAACGTAGCGCATTAAACGCAATTGTGGACGATCTCGAGGATGAATTGGAGGAGGATGCTGCTGACCCCTCAGCTGTCAGTGTTGAAGTTGCATCTACAGGAAAAGTTACGGCCCGCAAAGAGGATGGCACTAGAGTTGCAACACCACTTCACGGACAAACTCCAGTTCGACCGTCACATGCGGAGCAACGCGCCCAACGACTATCGGCTCTGCTACGAGGTTCACCAATGCAACAAGCATTCGGAAACGCGGCTGCCGCTGGTGGTCTTTCCTATGCGGCTGCGGTTCAGTCCATCCCACAAGACTGGCACATCGAATTCAGTGTCGGCACTCAACCAATTGCCAATGAGACAACCATTTACCGGGCGGTCCACTTCAATCAAACACAACCTGCGGAGGTCTCTGTGCGGACTGTGTGGAATGCTATTCACACCATCAAATTCAAGCGTGTAGCTGGCCCTCCACCAGCCGACAGCGGCTCTTTGACCCCTCCCCCAGAAGCTGCTTCCACTGCTTCGTCGGGACTGCCCCAGTCATTGGACAAGAACCCGACTACGTCAGGAATACTTCGTCTTCTAAGTCTGCTTCATGGCTTGAACTCCAATCTTGATGACGTTCTATCTGAGAACAAGGATACGATCAAACTCAACGTCGAGCCCTTATCCCAGTTCGTCAACACGAAGCTAACTGCAAAACTGAACCGCCAGCTGGAGGAACCCCTCATCGTCGCTAGCAACTGTCTCCCCAGCTGGAGTGAGGATTTGGCACGACTGTATCCATTCCTCTTTCCCTTTGAGACCAGGCATCTCTTCCTTCAGTCCACTTCGTTTGGATATTCTCGATCTATGACGAGATGGCAAAATGCGCAATCTTCGAATGATGACCGTCGCGATCGTCACCGCGACGAGCGACCATTCCTAGGTAGGTTGCAGCGACAAAAGGTCCGAATCTCGCGGACGAGGATTCTAGAATCTGCTATCAAAGTTATGGAGCTATACGGATCCTCTCCGAGCGTCCTGGAAGTGGAGTACTTTGAAGAAGTTGGCACCGGCCTAGGACCTACTCTAGAATTCTATTCGACAGTGTCAAAAGAGTTTTCCAAGAAGAAGCTCAAGCTCTGGCGAGAGAACGAGTCCACCGACAGCGAAGACTATTCTTTTGGAAAGCGCGGCCTTTTCCCTGCTCCAATGAGCGACGAACAAGCCACCTCAGAGAACGGGAAGCGAGTTCTTCATCTATTCAAGATGCTTGGTAAATTCGTTGCCCGAGCAATGCTGGATTCGAGAATCATCGACGTCTCGTTCAACCCCACGTTCTTCCGCATTGGAGACGGTAATGCCGCTGTCATTCCTTCCCTTGGCTCAGTTAAATCAGTTGACAGCGACCTGGCCAAGTCATTGAAGCTCTTGAAACAGTTCGCCGACAAGAAGCAGCAAATCGATGAGAACGGTAGCCTTAGTCCTGCACAAAAGGTTCAAGCAATTCAGGATATCACCATAGATGGTGCCCATGTTGAAGACATAGGGCTCGACTTCACGCTTCCAGGCTACCCCACAATCGAACTAATTGAGAACGGCTCCAACACCTCGGTCACTATCGACAATGTTGCTCAATTCGTGGATAGAGTACTCGATTTCACTCTTGGCTCCGGTGTGCAGAAGCAGGTCGATGCCTTCCGTGCCGGATTTTCGCAGGTATTCCCATACTCAGCACTCAAGGCATTTACTCCTGATGAACTCGTCATGCTGTTTGGTAGAGTCGAGGAAGACTGGTCTCTTGAAAGTAAGTTACCGCCAGTAAATATATCGTGACACAGCTTGCTAACACTACCCTAGCTTTGATGGATTCGATCAAGGCCGATCATGGTTACAACCTGGATAGCAAGAGCGTTCGAAATTTGCTTCAGGTGATGAGCGAACTTACGTCGGAGCAGCGACGGGACTTCCTTCAGTTCATCACTGGTAGTCCGAAGCTTCCTATAGGAGGTACGTACTATCTTCAATACCACTGTTTTCAGGATTAGTTTACTGACGGTAGACACAGGTTTCAAGAGCCTTACGCCCATGTTCACTGTGGTGTGCAAACCGAGTGAACCACCATACTGCTCGGACGACTACCTGCCCAGCGTCATGACCTGTGTTAATTATCTCAAGATGCCCGACTACACCAGCTTGGACATCCTCCGCGAGAAATTGAGCATGGCAACCCAAGAAGGCCAGGGCGCTTTCCATCTTTCCTAGTCAATGAACCTGACGACATCAACGGCTACTGCTAGGGGGCACCATTATGGGAGGCGCAAACACGGTGCATGGCGGCAATCTCTGGGTCAGTTGAGCTAAACGCTCTCTATCTCCGGGGCTTGCATCTTTCTCCCTTCTCTCTTGGGGCATAAATTTCACTTATTCTTTTTTGGGCTTTGAGTGAGCGTAGAGCAAGCACTCTTGGTGCAGTTATGACGTCTCTCATATTGAGAAATTGGTGCATATTCTGGTGGCGTGGCGGCCATGGGAATGGGTTACTCAGTGAGTGGGTATCACCGAGTTCTCTTCCACGGGTTATGAATCTGCTTTCCAACGGGTAATGATTGAAAGGTACGGCGGCGGAGTAGATAGAATACTTTTCACGTCATGACTTAGAATAATGGGTTTGGACTGAATATGCGATTGATTAGTGTCTTGATTGTGCGAGCATCGTAGACGGTAAGCCTGAATTTCGGAGATAAACACAGTAAGATTACTTCTTCAAGACACACCTCCAGCCCCATCTACTCAAAAAATCTCCTCCAACCTATCTTCCTGATTGAAATCATGCGAATTACCAAACCCCCTTTTCATATACCTCTCCTCCAACTCGGCCCGCGGCACAAACACACTCTGCACCTGTAAATCCCCGCCCGCACTCTCCAGCACCTCGCGCAAATCTTCGTCAAACTCCACGCGCATCGGATTCCTAATCCCCGCATCAGCAATCGCGTTCCGGAAAAAAAAAAAAAAAAGAAAAAGAAAAAAAGAAAATTAGGATAATAAACATACCGAAACCACGCCGCAAAATGTATCAACGCCAGCATGACCCGCACATCCTGCGTCCGATTCGGCTTCCCCGCATGCCACAGCCGCAGATCGCGCAGCACGATACTACCCCTCTTGACAACCGGCTGGCTCGGCGCCCGCTCCGCGCGCCGCTCCTCGAGTAGAGCGGGTGCGATGCGCCCGCTGGCGCGCTCGCCGTGCGCGCCTTCTTGCGCAGAGAGCGAGGAGAGGCTGTGCGTCCCCAGCCACACCTCGGTGCTGCCGTTCGCGGGCGTCATGTCGACCAGGGGGATGTTGAGGACCAGCGCGAAGGGGGACGCGGGGTGCGCGAAGTCGGCGTCGGAGTGGACGGGCTGGGATTGCGGCGGGGAGGTGGGCGTGGGCGGCATGGCGCTGTTGGCGGAGATGAAGGAGAGGCGGGAGCGCGGGCCCAGGACGGAGTGGATGATTTGGCGCGCGAGGGGGTTGAGGAAGAGGGTGGGGGAGAAGAAGGGGCGGGTTAGGGGCGGGTCTTGTTGGATGTTGCCGAGGTTGTAGTTGTAGGGGCTGGAGTCGCCGGCGGATTGGAGGATTAGGGCGTCGGAGACCATGCACGTGTTTAGGTGGGAGAGGGTGGTGTGGGTGATTATGTCTTCGATGACGACGAGGCCGTCGCGGTGGAGGGCGCGGGTGGCGGTTTGGAGGTTGAGCTAGGAGAGGGCGCCGGTGGATTTTTCTTCGGCGGTGGGGGTGATGCTGAGGGGGAGGGATGAGAGGAACTTCTTTTGAGAACGGAAAGGGGATGTGGTGAGGTGTGCGGCTTGGCTACGGTGGAGACCGCGAAGTGATACTTTTGACGAAATCATGATGGAGAGGAGTGGGACACTTTGCGAAAGAGAAAAGGAGAGCGCGGAAACTGCTCACATACTTATACATTCCTACTTGCTACGATGTCTACTTTCATCCCAAACGATTCAAGGGGATGATATTGCCCACTAGGTGGGTTCTATGGAATGAGGTCCACTAGCTCCCCCCGCATCTCGGGAAAAGCCTCGCTTCCCCGAGATCGGGCGCCTTTCCCGAGGAATCCATAAAAGCTCGGCTTCAGCCCCTCGATCAGGCATCGTCAAGACACTTCAGTTCCTTCCATCAACTAAGATCCAATCTGGAACTTTCCGTATGCCCAAGATACTCAGTAGTGATTGTAAGTAACGTCTTAGCATGTTCAACCCATAGAATATTATATTTATGTTAGCTAATTGATATTAACGTCTAGCCTGGTTAGTAATCTCCTTGGTAATCTTCTTGAAGTAGTAACGTACCCTGCGGGTGAGCTGCCCATGCGGGCGAGCTGCCCAGTCCGTGCACCACTAGAAATTCAATAATCTAACCTTAAATAACTCTACAACTACCTAATAAAAAGTTATATAAATATAATATATTATTCTTATATATATAAATACTTAGTATATAGAATATAAAGTCTATTTTTATAGTAGTTAACTAATTATTAAATTTAGACCCCTATTTTAGACCTTACCCTTTATTACTAGCTAACTACTATAAAGATAGACTCTATATTCTATATACTAAGTATTTATATATATAAGAATAATACATTAAATTTGTATAACTTTTTATTAGGTGGTTGTAGAGTTATTTAAGGTTAGATTATTGAATTTCTAGTGGTGCACGGACTGGGCAGCTCGCCCGCATGGGCAGCTCACCCGCAGGGTACGTTAGTATACCTTGATTTGACAGACCTTGCAGTCTTACATGCAGAGAACGGAAGATCAAATGTGAGCTTAATGAAGATATCTTGTCTGACACTTCACGCGAAGTGTATACTCTGCTGCTGCTCCCTGAATGCATGTAGGTTGAAAGCTTACACTGAACACAGGCGACGAAACCCTTCCCACATGTTTGAACTGCAGCAAGAAGCACCGCCAATGCCGCCATGTCCGCCTACCTCCTCTCAAATGGGTCTCATCGCCCGCGCTACCATTCACCCAACCCACTGAAGATCCAGCTCCGTCCCGCCCCTTTCAAGGTGATACATCATGGGCCCACCAAATAGCCACTCTCTCCCCCCGCGAAAGCCTTGAATACCCAACCGTCGTCTCGCTATTCACACACTACACAACGCACCTCGCCCCCTGGTACGACCTCAACGACCCACATTCTCTCTTCACAAATGCCGTCCCCATCCGCTCTCTCGATGAACCCATCCTCTTCCGCGCCATCCTCGCCTTCGCTGCCAGCCACCTAAGCCGCATGATTCCTACATCTTCCCTTGACTCCACCCCAGTAGCTGTGATATTGCACGACTCTTTCCTCTCCTCCCTCATCTCCGCCCTGTCCACCATCACCCCCTCCACCCAAGCAAATTATCTCGCCGCAACCTGTCTCCTCCGCTCGTATGAGATTTTGAACGGGGATACCCGCATGGCGCAGCAGCACCTCTTCGGCGCGTTTTCCCTAGCTGTGCACTTAGATATCGACCTCAGTACCTGGGGTCTCGCGCAGGCGGGATTTTGGAACTACCTCTGCGAGGACATCACCGTAGCGCTGGAGTGTCGACGGCCGTTGCACATGAGAATGATGGCTGATCGGGGGATGCCGAGGGGCATGACAGAGATGGAGCAAGATTGGGGGAACGCGATTACGTGGGTACTCGCCGAGTTGGTGAACCTACAATTTACAGAACATGAAGAAGATGGGGTTGGGGGTGGCGGGGAGAGATGGGAGTGTTCAAGAAGGGAGCTCGAGGAGTGGAAAGTCGGGTTGCCGACGAGTTTTGAGCCAATCTCGAGGGCAAGCAAGGAGGGCAATGTGTTTCCGTCGCTTTGGATGCTGAGGCCGTGGTACGTGGCTGCGAGGCAGTATGCGGCTGTAGCGGAGATTTTGTTGGTTTTGTCGAAGCCTGGTCAAGCGTTGGATAGTGAGGGAAGGGAGATGAGGGTTCAAGAGCTCGCGCTACAGGTTTGTGGACTGGCGTTTACGAATGAGGATGTACCAGCACGCGTGAATGCGTTTGGGCCGCTGGCGTTTTGCGGAAGATTCTTGAGAGGTGAGTTCTTAGCGGCTTTGAGTTTTAGTACTGAACTGGCCCCGAGTGTGTCATGATCTGATGTATGAGAATTCGTAGCTGTTCTGACCTTTCCCCAGAATCCAAATACCGCAGCGGGCTGCGTTGTCTACTCAGAAACATGGCACGCCAGACGGGATGGAACGTGGACTATATCTTAAAGGACCTATATGAATGTTGGGGGGAGAGCGACCTCAATTCATGAGTACCCAGTCTTAAGAACTAACCTTGTTGTGCCGTATTCTTGCAGGAGTATTAACAATTTCGCTTTGTCCACGTCTTGTTGCGCCTTGTTTATGAAGGCTTGGCCTTTCAGCCCAGGCATCTGTTGGGTGTCGATCAGGCTGCAGGTAACAGTGCATCGATGATGATTCGATGCGACCTGCATAACACAGCCACGTTTGTGAAACCTATGAAGGCGAGCACAGCCCAGCTTATCGCGGCGTACCAATACGTTACCCCGCGGGATGCGCTGGAATATGCCTCGCGTAGGTCTATTTCTCCTGTCAGCTCAGCCTCATGAGCTCCCACCTGCCTCTTGTTAGCTTTGCCTCCCTCCATTTCACCTTCATCGTTCCATCATTCAACGAAATACACTATGACCATCGATCCCGGAACTGCCTTGGCTATTGTTTCCCTAGGTATCACGGTCTGCGACGGCATCAGCAGCTATTGCAACGCCCTCAAGCATCGCAAAGAAGAGGTGCAATCGCTGTCAACAATTTCAACAGAGCTCCAGAGCATTCTACAAGACGTTCAGACCTGGTTGCACAGCCGTCCGTCTCTGAGCGACTCTTTGGTCAACAGGGTCGATGGCTGTGTCAAGACGTGTCTTGGTCACTTGGACAAAATTTTGCTCTTGTGCACGCACTACTCGCCGCCGGCGAAAGACGATCTGAGATCTCGGATTGTTTATGTCAGCCGAGGTCTTCAATTCCCCTTCAAGAAAGCTACTATACAAAACTTGATGGTCCAGATGGAGTCACTTCGATCCAACGTCAAGCTCGCTCTTACTCTTCTCTCTTCGTAAGTTGCACGTTACCATGCACACAGCATATGCTCAACATCTATAGAGACTTCACTTTTGAAGGCCTCGAGGCCTTGAAAACGTTGATTCAACAATCTCAACAGACGACGAGTCATTCCATCAAGACCCATGTGGATGAAGCGGAGCTGAGACTTAGCAATCGCCTTAGTAGCAACGAGCACCATGTCCGGACCGACGTCCAACAACTGAAACAGTCAATTTCAACCGAAGTGCAACAGTACACACAGGCAGCCACTAGTTCCATCACAGTAAACATGGATCAGGGTTTTGCCAACTTAGCGCAGTCGTCCTCGAACCACATGCAGCATCTCGAACGCACTGTGGCTCAAGCGCAAGGTTCACTAAGCGAAGAGTTCAATTCAGGCCAACAATCACTAGTAACAGAGATTCGAGAGCTCAAATACTTCTTACAACTCAAAATGAACTCGAATCTACCACAGGACTCAACCAATGTGATCTCAAGGTCCCAATCACTCTTACCAAGACGGCGACACCGACGGAAACGGCCGACAGCATCAAGCGAAATCTCCAAGCTGTGCACCTGCAATGCGACTATTACAGAGAGTTTCTTTCGCTCACGATCGCGGAAATGGTTCCAGAAGACGAGCGAGACGTGCCTTGTCCATGCTAAGGATTGTCCACTGTGGTATACGAGTCAAAATAAGGTCACGATGGAGGTCAATGTTCGTTTCTGGCGGCTTTTAGTTTCAGGGTTCATCGTACTCGATAGTGGATATTACAGCTGGCGTAGATGGAGCGTCGGTCTATCTCCAAATCTACGGTGCCACACCACTGTTCCTTCTGGATCCGGAGTTTTTGCCATCCTGGAGTCATTGAGAAAGACTCTGAAGAGATCACCGAACAAAAGAGATCGTGAAGCGGCTTTAGAAGAATGCCTTGCTGCTTTGCACAAACTATTTTCTACGGGAGAAGCCTCACCGCATGACGTAGACGAGGATGGAACCAACATGTTGCATGTAAGTGCTCCATAATGATGGTATTTTTCTTTTGTCGCGGACTCCATTGGTCGTGGCGTACCTCAACTGCTAGTGTACATTCCATACTATCACGGACCTCTAGAACTTTAGCGCAGCACAATGCTGATCAAAGCAGTTTATAGCGAGTCCGCCGTATTACGGAAGCATTTTCAATGTCCTTGGGCTAGTCGAAACGTTACGCTTCATTGAGAAGATTCAATCATTATGGGCCGTTGATTTATATAGTCCGAGGGTCTATGACCCTTCCGGCTATGCTAGGACACCAGCAGGTCTCCTCCTGGAATTCATTCACTTTCGTCCGTATCGTGTTGAGGATGCCAATATCGCAGCGGGAGAGTTTCATTTTCTTCTAGATTGGTTAATCGATTACGGCTTTGATGTCGTTCAATCAATCCATCCATCAGAATCGTCTCTCAACTATCCTTGGAAAGATTTGTGTTTCGTTCCAATGGCTCAACGTCCTTCCGTTATGTTTCCTTTGCAGGAACTCGAGCTGATTGAAGGTGAGTACATTGCCCTTTCGCCATAACCAATATCGGTGCCTAGTGTTACGTAGACTCATTTATAAGTCCAAGAACTAATGTTCGGAACGTAGCTACCCGGTGTAACTCTTTGTCGATTGCGATTCTGAAAAGGGACGAGCATAGCATGCGCGAAGAATTGAGAAAAGACCCAGTTTCCCTCAGTGAGGTCAACTACCTCGGACAGAATGCGCTTCACTTCGCTACTGAATGGACAGAAGGCCTAAGCATTCTCCTCGAGTCCGGAGGTATAACGGACGACATCTTAAATCAACTCGACAATTACAGGCGCTCTGCCTTAGATTATGCAGCTCTACAAGATAACATGGAGTCTGTCCAGATGTTGATAGACGCCGACGCGTGCTTTGAGTTCGAAGATCTCGAAACGCTAAACGCCATTAGTCCAAACTGCCGGAGGTTGTTGATATCAACGCTTTATGAAAGACGACGCCAGCTGAGGGACCTTGCAATAGAGCAGAGAGGTTCTATGGACGGCGATAATGCTGAACATTTCGGCGCATTTTACACCGACACAGCCTCCAGGATGTATCTGCTGTTACTCGAGGAGACTAAAGTCGCTGTTCCCGAATCGCTTCGCTCTTCGGTATTGTCCGAAGGGAGTCTTTATCACTGGGCTTATAGGGACAAGCCCTGGTATCCTTTTATAAGGCAAGACGCGCTGCAAGACCTGTTTGCGGTGGGTTTTGTGCAGGTGGACGAAATTTGGGATCAAGTAACTCCGATAATGACTTTACAAGATGAGGTGGACATCATTGGCTTGGCGGAGATGCTCCTCGAGAACGGCGCTGACGCGGAGAGAGAATTTCCTTTGGATCACCGGAATATCCAAGTTCATGATGACGGGAGAAGACACCGAGGAATTCACAAATTAGCTTTCCAGATCGGAAAGAGCCGACGTAACTGGATGGACCAAAATGACCTTCTCCCTTCCAAAATAATTTCGCAACTTTCAGAGTCATCCTGTGTTCAACGAGCAATCTTTCAATGCACTAGAAAGGATCCTTGCTCTTGCTACTGTTCGCCTGGGGGCTGCACGGCACTCAGTTGCTTAATGAAGGGTATTAGGGACTCCCTGAGAAATAGGCCTGCATCCCCCCTCACTCTGAAACCACTTGCTGGGGCATTGCTGCAGTTCGATCTTGGTCGTCGGAATGGTTTAATCGTTGCAATGGAATTCATTCGAATGATGACCTTCGACTCGCTTGAACTCACGCATACCTGTTGCACGTATGGGGAACCTGGATGGAACAGTCCCTACCTCGAAATGCCAAGAAGAAGAGTAGAGGAACAAGAAGAGATTGATCGTATCCACGAGGAGGAAACAGAGGGCCTGAAGCAACTGGAAACTCTTATGGAAGAGTTCACCAAGACGTTCGCCGAATCCGAAATACCCCTGAAGGAGTTCTTTGAAGGTTACTGGCGAGAGCGAATGGAACAAGAATTCTACAACAATGGGCCGGTTCCGACGGAAGAACTAGAGGGCCAGAAGGAGCACTGTGTTTGGTTGAGGGAGCACAGTGATCTGGAACATGACTTCTTCGCACAGCTTTGGGTAGACAAGATTCATTGGTAGACAGGATTCATTGGTAGACAGGATTCATTGGTAGACAGGATTCATTGGTAGACAGGATTCATTGGTAGACAGGATTCATTGGTAGACAGGATTCGTTGGCCAGCTAACTCGGTAGAGCTTTACGACCTAGACGATGAGTACGAGGAGGAAAATTTTGAATAAGATAATGGCAACTATGTGGGGTGATATTGTCAGCATTTCGCAATATATGACGTTCCTTTACCACTCCACCACTCTGTCTTTTACGAACCCTTTCCCGGCGAGTAACTCAACATTGCATTGGAGTATACTTGGAGGAGGCTTCAACAAAAAGCAGACCAGGGGATCTATTGCAGTATACTAAGCACGAGCTGCAAGTTGGTGGTCGGATGACATATGTTCCTAGGACATGTTGAGGTTGACCATATCAGACTTGGACCTGTTTTATTTTATACTACATCATCATTCAGAGGCAACTTATTCCGAAGCAAGACCGCAACTCCTGGTCCCCAACATTAGGCGCGTGAAAATTGCTCTTTTCTACTTACACATCCTTCATCAGATGCGGCCGTGGTGTAGAAACGGCAGCGGCCCGCGTGATCTACTCCGAAACATGGCGCGCCATGCGGGGTGAAGCGTGGACTATTTTTTTTAAAAAAAACTGTATAAATGCTGTATTCCTGTGGGGAGCGCTACTCGTACACTCCCTTTTCACTACACGTACACCCCCTAATCGCTACACGTACACCCCCCCTCCCCTCTTCGCGCTTCACCACCTTCTAATTGGCTCGGAGAGCCCGGAGCTTCCTCCGGGCATTCACCTTTACGTCTCTTTACACGTGATGCTATACGCAAGGCCGTACGTGATGCTATACACGAGGCCGTACGTGATGCTATACGCGAGGCCGTACGTGATGCTATACACGAAGCCGTACGTGAGGCCTTACGTGATGCTATACACGAGGCCGTACGTGAGCTCGTACGTGAGCTCGTACGCGAGGCTATACGTGAGCTCGTACGTGAGCTTGTACGTGAGCTCGTACATAAGGCTATACAAATTGGCATAATATAAGGACGAGCCTAATCATCACCCCCCTTTTTGCTACGCATCACCCCCCTTTTTACTACGTATCACCCCCCCTATATTAGGTCTGCTCCGGCCTGTATAAATATTGTTCCACTAATTAAACTTACTTACTTGCCCGCTCTATACTTAATTTAAATTTACATTACCTATATACTCTCTTTTAATATGGGGACTACTAATCGTACACCCCCTAATTCCTAGACGTACACCCCCTTTTCACTCCATGTACACCCCCCCCTCTTGGCGCTTCACCACCTTCTGATTGGCTCGGAGAGCCCGGAGCTTCCTCCGGGCATTCACCCTTACGTCTCTCTACACGTGATGCTATACGCGAGGCCGTACGTGATGCTATGCACGAGGCCGTACGTGAGCTCGTATGTGAGGCCATACGTGATGCTATACACGAGGCCGTACGTGAGCTCGTATGTGAGGCCGTACGTAATGCTATACACAAGGCTGTACGTGATGCTATACATGAGGCCGTACGTGAGCTCGTACGTGAGCTCGTACGTGAGGCTATACATGAGCTCGTACGTGAGCTTGTATATAAGCTCGTACGTAAGGCTATACAAATTGGCATGATGTAATTGCTTGTGTTGTACATGGCCGCATTTGGAGAGAGCATTCGGAATGAATGAGCAAGTTAAGCGAGCGAATCGGAGGCTACGGAGCAGCCCTCCGAGCCAATTAGAAGGTGGTGAAGCGACAGGAGGGGAGGGGGTGTACGCGCAGTGAAAAAGGGGTGTACGTCTAGGAATTAGGGGGTGTACGATTAGTAGTCCCCTATTTTAATTCTAACCTTAAGCCTTAATATAAGATAAATACCCTCCTAGCTTCCGGGAGCAATAGAAGCAACTTAGAATTTTTTTTTCTTTATAATAGAGCGCGCTTTTATAATTAACTATTGCCTATATAGTTAAGCTGTCGCCTATATAGCAAAAAAACCTATTAGCAGTATTATAAGTATAGCCCCTAATAAACCGATTTAACTCCCTACGCGGAGTTAAGTAATAGACCTTATAACTATACTAGCGTCCGGAAGGCCCCTATAATAGAAAAGTAGTAACAGCACCCTAGAAAGTCCTTACTAATTTAATAGCTTTACCTGCGCGTAAAGCTTTTACCTTCTACTATTTACTATTAAAAGTATAGAGACTATAGTCTGCGTATATAGTATTAATAACAGCCTGCGCGCCTAGTATTACACCTATTTACTATTATAAGTATAGAAACTGTAGT